GTCAAATGACACGACGAGGACGGTACGCCTACTGAGTAAATACGGAAAAACATTACAAAATTGATAACCGCTGTCTATCTATAAAATGTTAATGCAATATAATTATTATTTTACACTAATTTATAGCTGTAATAATTTTCTATTTTAACGGTAAAAGTAGAAGCTGTTTTAATACCTGTAGTGTACACATCCAGTCATTAGAGGATAGACTAGATAGGTACTTAGGTACAGAAATGTGAGATAATCTTCTCCAGATGATATTTTAACAGTTTATGATAGACTAGTGGCCTGTTCCTGCTTCGCCTGTGTGTGATTTCCAAATGGTACCAGTGAATATGTCGAAAGTTTGATTCAAACAAATATTTTTTTATATTTATTTTTCATTTATTAAATTTATCCGCGACCGCGCACGCTGCTCACGAGGAAGAACCCCTCTGTGGATCGAAACTAGTCGAGCTTTTTTTAGTATATTCACGTAAGATGAGATTTTAGTTAATGTTTGTCTCACGATAGTTATTATAAAAGCATTGCTAAGCAGGTTTTTATTGTATTTGAGACGAAATGACTATAGTGAGCCTAGTCTAGTACTAATAACAAAGTTATATTATTGTTTGCAATAATCTGCAGCCGACATCCGTAGCCGGTGTAATAGCCGGCAAGAATTCTGTAACGTCTCGTGATTTAATGCCGATAATAGCTGATACATTATTGATTAGGAAAATCTGGCGTAATCCCCACTGTTAGGGGCCATTTACACTATTACACTGCGCATAAAGAAATTAATCGTAAGGTTAGTGTAGTTTAAATTTAAACAAACATGCGTATTCACTAATCTGCCAAGTTATTGGATAGAGAATAAAAATTAATTTACAAACGTTTTTATCGTCATCATATTGTGAAAATGTGTTCATAACTTAAAGTTATAGCTTACAACTAAAAAAGCAACCATAACGTCACGCATTTTATCCCTGAAGGGATAGGCAGAGGTGCACATTGCGGCACTTAATGCCACTGTACAATGTAACACCCACTTTTCACTATTCATGTTATGAGTCCCATGTAATAGGGGGTGAACCTATTGCCATATACCGGACAGAATTGCAGACTACATGCTGCTACTGAGTATTGTTTTAAAAACCCAATAATATTTTGTACGGCCCGGAAATTAAACCCCTTGCCAAGTTGCTCTTGTGACCACTCGGCCAACGAGGCAGTCAATGCAGTGCAGTAAAAAAGCAACCCTATATTTTAAATTTGAAAAGTCTCATTTCACACTCGTCGTCGTCACTACTAAAATCGTTGTTTTTCTCCCTCTCTCCAACTTCATTATCTATATTACTTTTACTTAATTAGTTACTAGCTTCTGCCCGCGACTTCGTACGCGTAATCCTATTTTTTCCCGTCCCCGTTCGTGATTTTCGTTAAAAAGTAAAAATAAAAAATGGTTAAAAAGTATCCTACGTCGGTCTCCTGGCTCTAAGCTACCTCCCTACAAATTTTCAGCCAAATCTATTCTGCCATTCTTGAGTTATAAGTGGTGTAACTAACACGACTTTCTTTTATATATATAAGATTGCAACCTATGTGCACTTCCCCTAAGAATTACCAACAACATGAACCTCGACGTTTTTACAAGCATTCCCGCATACAAGAGACGCAAGCATTTCCGCGCGATCGTAATAGTATTTAGAACTGGTTCGCTCTAATTGGCTGATGCGAGTCATACGAGTAAATCATGGTATCGATGGAAACATGCGATTGGAAATCTAAACTTGCGATTAGACGTAGATGCGTTTATTTTGTAATCGCAGGATAATGTGTGTCGCAGCGTCCGTGGTTGTGTTATGTGAATTAGCCTTTATGCATTACTAGCTTTTACCCGCGGCTTCGCTCGCGTCACAAAAGGATAAAAAAGTAGCCCATTTTACATATACTAATACACACAGCGCCATCTATACCAATAATTTCGTTTTCCCTCGAGAATATCAAATTTTTCCGGGATAAGAAGTATCCTATTTTTGAATCCAGACTTCTAACTTCACGTCTGCAAAAATTCAAAGCAATCGGTTTAGTAGTTACGGTGTGAAAGTGGAACAAACAAACAAACTCACTTTCCGATTTAAAATATTAGTAAGGATTTTGTAAAGAGAATCCTTCTGACGAGATTTTGGTGTTAGATTTTATCTAAAAACTATTGAATCTGGTTCGATGAAATTTACCATACCGTAGTTACTTTATCTCAGTTACATTATTGAGGGTTATACGTTTAAAGATTACTTTAACCTATTGAGTACCGTCTTTATAGACACAATTAAAGAACAATAGGTTGCAGTCACCGGTGTCCTCGCGGTGTTTGACAGTTTAATAGATAATATCAAAAAACTTACCTGTCTCTTTTATCTTCGTAAAATAAACATAATGATGTTGCATGTATTTACACTGTGTCTTATGTCTTATGTTTATATTCCTTTTCCTGTCGCAGGTCTGCAGGAAGAAATCCCTTAAGGTATATGCAGTACCTATGTACCTCATGCTTATAATGTGTTGTCTCTTGAAATATTGTCTGTATGGTGTGGGTACATGAAATAATAAATAAATAAATGAGTATGTAACAAGATCTGAATTAAAAATTACATACTAATTCTCACCTCAGTAGTTTAACCAATTAATGCCTTATTCACACCTCAAAACATAAAAAAACTAATTGAATGAAAAAACTAGAATCAATATCGTGTCCATTTAAAATTCCGCCTTCCACTTTACTCCAAATTTTATCTAGTTATCATCATGCGCACGCGACGATGCACCGCTCTAGCGCTTCTTAAGCGTGCGCCTGCGCAAGCTACACGGAAAAGTTCCTTAGTGCTTATGGAATAAAGATTAGATTACATTATTCGTGTCAGTGTCACAGTAAAATGTTGATTGTTTTTTGTGTTCAAAGATAGAGTTATTAGATAAAGTAAAATGCAATGTTTTTGGATGGTTTTAAATTGGTTAACAAATACCTGTTGGTACACACCTCATAGATCTTCTATTGTTATTATCAATTTCCATGTAAGTTTCTATAGCGGAATGTAAATAAATGCCAACAATAACAGCAAAGTGATCAATTGGGCTTCCTTCCTAGTCGTCTTCTTCATTACTGAAGGTCGTGTCTAGTCTGGTGCACGCGTCACTTGATGCACAACCCTCCTCCAAACGCCCCTGTCCTCTGCAGTCTTTATGGCTTGTGGAACTGTCAGGCCGGTTAGGTTTTTTACAGCATCCAACCACCGGGTAGGTGAGCGACCGCGAGGTCTTTTCCCGTTAACCCGACCAACAACCACAAGCTTCTCCAGATTGTTGGGGTCTCTACGCGCAATGTGGGCAAAATAAGTTAATATTCGCTGCAGGCATACAGTGGACAGCCTCGTAGTAATTCCGATCTCCTTGAGAATGGAGACGTTGGTGCGACGAGCGGTCCAGGGAATACGGAGCATACGTCTCCAGCACCACATTTCGAAGACGTCAATTTTTGCTCTCTCAGTTTTCCTTAGGGTCTTAGGTAACTTTATATCTAACTAGCTTTTGCCCGCGACTTCGTACGCGTAATCCCGTTTTCTCCCGTTGCCGTAGGATTTTCAGATTTTTTTTTGTCTTAAGTACATTCTCCTAATAATAACAAAGACAACAAAAAAGAATTAGTGAAATCGTCATTCCAATCCAGCCATTCACGCGTCATGCCGTGACTAAGGGAAAACGGGGTTCATTTTTATATTATTTATAAGATTAAAGATTTGATACTCGTTATAATTTGCCCATAAAGCGAAAATACTCTTTGTATTGGCCTCTCTCTTAAATTATAACGTTAATAACGTCAATCGTATCATTAGGGTAGGACATAGAGAATCCACCTCTTTTATACACGCTGTATTTTTTTTATGGAGTAGGAGGCAAACGAGCTTACGTATCACCTGATGGTAAGCGATCAGCGTCGCCCGCCACAATATGTCACAGCTAATGCAATTTTATTTTAAAATCCATTTAAACACATTAAAACCTTAATAGAAATGTACAAGATTGTCCTCTTAAACTCTCATTAATAATAATAAGTTTTATCTTAAGAAATGTATAGAAATATCTTTTCATAAATATGTACACATAAATTATTTATCGTAAAGAGAAAATATTGATTAATTTATTGATAAACTGCATTTCTCTATCCTCATTAGGATTCCATAGATTACAATGAAGCTAATGGCCTTCTAGCCTCTTTTCTGTAAGGCTCGGAATCCACTTATACATAGGGTATATCAAGAACCTATTTTTGAAAATTGTATGGTACTGAATATTTTTGTTTATTGTTAACTCGTTAGCTACTGCCATAGGTTTCAGAATCAGAATTAAACACATTCTCTTTATTTCTTACACAGGAATGTTATCGGCCAGTCCTAAGGCCTGTTAGAGACAGGATTTTAACCCATTTTACATCAAAATTTTCTTTTTATAACCAAATCTATAAACAGATTGGTTATTGTAACTGGTCGTAAGTTCTGATTGTCTATTGTTGAAACCCTAACTGCAGCTGTAACCAAATGCCATTTAGCGCTTGTCTACATGTACTTACAATAGAAAACCAAATTATATGGAATTGACGTAAATTTTGACACTTGTCAGTGTCATCCCCATACATTGTGATTTCTACTCTCTCTGTAGACAAGCGTTAAAGTGGCGTTTGGCTAAAGGCCCAGATAAGAAAACCCTTGAAAACTCCTAATATTATAGATTTATGATACGGAACAACTGGTATGCAAGTTGCACATACAGATATATGTACAGTTGAATATGAATATAACATTAGCAAGTTAAACTCATACAAATGACAAGTCAAGCAGTTAGGTCACGGCATAATCACATACAAATCAATGGGCTAAGCAGAAAGTGCATGGTTTCTAACACTCGACACATACAAGCGATAATAAACCTTACTCTGTGGTTAATAAATGTCTGTTTTGTTACAGGATGAACTGGAAACCCTTAAGGCTAAATTGGAAAAGGTGGAAAGTGAAAGAACGCATTATAAGAGTGAGTCGGAACGGCTCGAGTCTAAGGTGAGTGCAAAACTTATTTTCCTTAACAATTTTCTCTTCCAGTTTCTTAGAAAAGTTTCTATTTAAATTATAGGCTTTGTATCTGTGTTTCCAATAGGATTAGCACGTTAGTTCGTCTGTGTAGTGGAGGTTTTCGCACCAGTAGAGGCGCTAGTGTAGTTTTTAGGCTACTGTCCAACAGAATGTAGCTAATTGATGATACTGAGCTGATTGGGCCATTTTCCTCACTAGCTTCATCTCGTTAGCGCATAAATGAAATAATATCATTATTGAGATGTGCTTTATCTGCGTAAACTTAATAATGAGACAAATTATTCTTATCCTGGACATCCAAACCAAGAACTTTTACTAGACAATCATGTAAAAGAAAGGTTTTATGCCCTACCATTACCAATATCACACAACTCTAATTATACAAAAAATAGAATTGTAGTTTTAACCATGAAAGTTTTTAAGCGAAGGGCTTACCACAGATCTGTACAAATGAACGAAGTCGATTGAGAACTGATCTCTTATTTTGTTCTAGCGATCTCGGTCATTGAGTTTCTGGGTTAATTATCGGTTTATAGAGCTTGTCGTTAAAAATGATACACTGTTACGATTTTACTACCTCCACTGGATCATTTTGCTTTTATTTTTTATATTTTTTACGTTTTTAAATCGAGTTCTGCGTTCTATTTGTCGTTTTAGTACCTTCGTTGAAAATGATGCGCAGATGGCAGCAGTGTCGCTAACGCATGATATATTCATTTTTTTTATAATTCTTCTCTCTGTTACAAAAAAATTGTATTCACAATTTTAGTTGAAGTTGGTTACATGATGCTCTGACATGAGTCGCCGAACTCGTCGCCCTTGCCTGCGAGTGTGAGAGTCTGAGGGCCAAGCACGAATAACTATCGCATTCGAATCGTAACAGTATCGAGCGAGTTAACCATTCTGATAGGTTGGTTCACTTGAGCCGGCCAATCAGAGGGCCAAGCACGAATAACTATCGCATTCGTATCGTAACAGTATCGAGCGAGTTAACCATTCTGATTGGTTGGTTCACTTGAGCCGGCCAATCAGAGCGCCGAACGCACTCGATACTATTACGTTACGAATGCGATAGTTATTCGTGCTTGGCACTCTGACGTCTGAACTCTGAACGTTTAAGTCGGTTCATATACATACGATAGCTCTTTTTACCGCCCGTCGAACTTGTCTGCTAAATATTTAGTGTGACTTTCAAAAATTCATTATTGGTAGATAATTTAACATTTCGGCACCTCATCTGATTTATTTAATTTGCAATAAAACTTAGCTTTAGTAAAGCTGGCTTGTATAGAGCCGTATCTTATATTCTAGTTAGACCCATAATACTCCAGGATAAAGCTAGTCTCCAATAATATTTCAATAAACAGCCAGTCACTAAAAATAATACCAAATGACCAAAACAAAAGTTGTAATGACAGATGCAGGTTTTTACACAAGAACGGGTTTCATTACACACTTGGTTTAAAAAATGATCGGTGTTAGGGTGGAGACACACTGGGTTTTATTATAATGAAAATTAGTGAATTTTTTTGTTTGACATAAGGTCTAGAACCTAGAATTTAAGTACCTATATGAACAGAAAGTGGTGTGGTCGTGGTGGCCTGGAGGTTTAAGACGCCCGCTTTTTATGGATGAGGGTGCAGGTTCACAACCTACCAACGGCAAGTACCAATGTGGCTTTTCAGAGTTATATGTACTTTCTAAGATTATCTAGACACTACTGACAAACGGTGAAAGAGAACATCGTGAGGAAACCTAGACTTATAATTTCTAATTATAAGTTTGTTATCGCCAACCCGCATTGAGAAAGCGTGGTAATAAATGCTCAAACCTTCTCCGTGTGAGAAGAGGCTTTGCTCAGCAGTGAGCATTTATAGGCTGTTGATGATAATGGTGATGATGAACAAAAAAACTTAGATGTACAATACCGATTCATCTATTTGGTCATACGTGCTTCAAATCTATTTTTATATAGTGAGATAATATCAAATAAATTTTAAGAAGCTCTGTCCCACCTACTGCTTATTCACCATGTTTTCTCGTAATTCTACAGGCACTCAAGAGCGCCCAAATTGCTAGTAATTTATTTCGATATTACCTTGACGCTCTGTTTGGCGTAGCAGTTAAAACAATACAAGTACATATAAGGAAATTTAAAAAGTAGAATAATAGTTGCTCACTGACATTCTAATCACGTTTTTACAGCGATGCTAGTGACTTGACCTGACTTCGCTTGTGTGCTTTTCTTTTATTATCCCGGGGAATTTGTCTGATTCTTCTTTCACGGATAAAAATCCTAATTATAATAAATATACGAAAAAGTAATGTTATGCTGGATATTACGTGAAACAAGTGAATTTATTTTTGCGAATACACTACAAGGCCACACTTTTACACGTCAATTTTATCAAACGAACGATAGACCCATTTCCTAACCGACTACTTTGAGAAGAAATGCCGAAACAAACTCAGATGACAGTCTTTTTTTATATTATAACCTAAATGATGATAATTAAAAAATAAGATAAATGGTCTACCTACCATAGTTTCACACCATGCTTCGTCTAATTATTATGATATAATAGAAATAATGGTCCCAGATAGAGGTTGCTTACGGCTTTCAGTGTCAATTAGTCTTTAGACAACTGTCCATGGGACATTCCAGTGCACTTAATTGTGCAATAATATCTAGCTGCACTCTCTATTCTCTCACTCGAATCAGTTACAATGATCCCACAAGATTGCAAAGGTCCACAGCCTTCCCCACACTGGACAATCTTTGAAATATGAAGTTTGAAATGGTGACCCAAGTGTTGCAATATGCTCGACTCAACTCGTATTAAATTACTGTCATGCAAACGAGCACCTGTGCTTACCCCTTTCCCTTTTCGCTGCTTAAAATGTTTGAATTGGGAAGGTATCTATAAAAAAAATCATAGAGATATAATATTTTATTTTTTTATTGTAAGGCATAGATAACTCTAGCGATCATATCTGTCATCGTAACCTCAAGAAATATAAATTAAAAACATGATTAAATTTTCACTTTCAATTAAATAAATCGTTAAATATTTAAATACATCGCAATTAAAATTACACTTGCAATAAAATACATGTCTGAATGATTAAATATTAATTTTAAATTAAACAGATCAATAGCCTACCATTAATTAGATTAGACGAGACATATCGCCAGTAATAGACACTTGTAAACTGTCAAAGACAACCATTTAGTTTTTGGCCAGCAACATGATCTATTTCCATGGCCCAGTTTGTTTGATTTAAAACGATTATAGGGGCGTTTACGAAATAAAACAAATGTTCCCTACTATAAATCTTTGGGTCTTTATTTTTGAAACTAGATTTTGCACCCGACTTCGATCACGTCGAAAGTTAAACTCAATATCTTATTCTATGAAATCATAGGTAGCTATAGTATGAAAAATAGTAACTAACACGGTCATTAGTTATACTATTTCACTCATGAAAGTTCACGTTCAAGTTCAGAATAACTAACTGTCACTAGTAATTAAAGTATGTAGGAATAAAAAAACATACCGATAGTAAAATCGTTATCATCATCATAACAGCCACAAGACTGTCCTATCCACTGCTGAACATAGGCCTCTCCCAATGACTTCTAGATTGTAAAATAATAATGTAAAGTAAAACCCCAAAAATCCTCAAATAACTTTTAAGTTCCATGTGTGTTCCATGCTTTATTGCATCTCACATCAGCTCCGCTCTCCCACAGTAAAAGACAAGGGTTGTATCCGGCCTGACCGGATGAACGGCTTTTTATTGTCCGTGTTCAACAATCGCCAAATGTCGCCAATAAGGTTCTATACAACCTTCGTCATCGTGGTCTTTGAATTATTTATTTCCAAAAGTTTGTGGTAGTTTTCTTTGCGCTGATGTTTTAGCTGTGGCAAATATAACTTTACAATATTTGGATGTCTTTCTAAGTAACTTAATTACAATGAAATTAAGTACAATTGTTTTATTAACCTATTTACTAATCGGCCATCGAATGGCAATAGTAAAAGACCATAATTAAATCAATTATCTCGGCATCAATAAGACCGGTAGTCGGTGATGACAAAATAAAACAATACAAGGTAATTGTTATGAAGTTCATTGGTGAGGAACGAAACGCCCACTGGCCTAGCACCCGTCCAGCTTACCTTGAGACAGGATACGCGTGCATAACCCGTGGCAGTCTCTAGGCGACTTTTGCCTACATCAGCTGCCTTAAAAAAAATTAAAATGTCAAATCAGTGACAGTTATTTCGGCGGGATTTTTTATCTGTGGTCGGATAATTTTCTTGTTTTTGATTACTAATTTGTTGTTGAAAGTTGAATTCAAGTTTAAGTTGTGTATTTACAATAACTGGTGTAAAATATCTTTGAGATAAAGTCCGTTATTGTTGTATGTAAACAAATGTTTAATATTTATTTATTCATACTAAAAGGAATCTAAGCTGTTAGAGGAAACCTCGTAAAAGTTAGTAATCTCATAAATTGATGGACGAATAAAATGCATGTGAGTACGTGAGTACAATTTTAAGTTAGTTATTCTAGGTACGTTCACATTTTATGTTGGTTTATTTTATGGAAGTTATAATTTACGACATTATCTTTGTAAAATAATGTTAATTACACATTCTTCAAGTACGATTGCGGAGTTCCAATCTTCAACAGAACTTAAACGTCATTTGTGTCTACCTTCAGAGTCTTATCTTTTTGTAAGTCTTAGTTCATTCGATGTGACGAAGACGACAGAGATCAGTGATCAGCACTCTTTGATAAAACTGAAACTATTAAACTGATCTACAACCCGCCCCACAAACGTACTTACCTAGAAATTACGACAAAACCCTTGGCCCGTACCGTTGCCTGTTGTTGTGATTCCTGAAGAGCCACCCCCACAGTGTCACAAGCAGTGGAGGAACACCGCGGTGGTTTTAGCCGCTAGAGTCCGGCACGCCCCCCCCCCCACGACGTGGGGGAAGTCCATGAGGATTTCCATCACGATAGAAAAAAAAGAGTGTACCGTAGGCCTTTAGTCTAGTCTAGATTTGATGAGGACTGTCACAGACTACGCAAGTGATGTGATGGTTCATTATCGCTAATCAATTGTCAGACAAGAACAGATCAGGTATCCATTTTGGAGACTCGGTTGCCAAAGAAGAAAAACAAAGATCAAGTATACTGCCTGCTGTAATGAATAGCGACATACGTCATGAATCTTAAAAACAACATTTATTTGTATTTACCACGAAAAAACAGAGAAAAGATACAAATGACAAGAATTTGTTCTGACCTAGAGAATTAAAAAAATAATTGGGCTTTCGGCCTTTAGTTCCTTGACCGACGACGAAAATATGGCTCAGGATGTTGGGCTCCTAAAACAGCGAGTTAATCTCCATAATAATGTGATGATAACACATAAATTGACAATATAATAAAAAAATTAAAAATTGATAATGCGGTGTTATAATGTAATAAATTAAATTAATTAAGAATATATATATTTAATAATATTAATAATAAACTGTAAATTTATGGACCCAATGTCTGAAATAAAAAGGTTTTTTTTTTAATAAACCTTACTCTTCAAGTTACGTTATATTTTATTAAGAAATCAATTTTAAGTAGCTAGGTAAGTTTCCAGTAACATAATGTAACCTTTGGATCCCAGAAGAATTAGGCAGATCTGCACATTTCCAATGTTATTTTCTCTCGCTTTTCACGAGTTGTATTTCGAGTTTCATCATTTAAAGAAATCTTTGCCCTTCACTAGGATTTTCTTCTGTGTCGTGGGTGCGTTCACAAACATACACGTTTTCATATTTTGAGTACTTACGTGACTTGAGTAGGTATATCCGAAGATCTTTACATTTTTGCTATTTGAACAAAATATCCATGCTCTTGCAATTTTTAAATAAATTTGGTACTTCACCGAAACGTTTATCCTTATTTTCATTGAACATTGGATCGCGAATTTAGAGGCCGAACATCAATATTGTTTGCCGAGACATTATGTAACCACAGACAACAAAATACTGAAAGAATTATATTTTAACTCGCTCTGTTCCACGGTGTTACGAGAACTTTCTAATGAACGAGTTTTTTAAATTCGATGTTCTAATTGCGCTATCACTTTGTTATACTGTCCTTTCTCTGATCACAGAATAACTACAAAAGACATAGGTAGCATACAATTTATTTGAATTTATATAACTTGAGGTGTCACGTATTTAATGTCTCTGTCTTTACAATATCATTTTAAAAAACATTAGTTCTAAACAGATATATGTAAAATTTCGTTGTTTCTGTTTTACGCACCATCTCCGAAGTCGTTCGTAAGTTAGTCACAGTTTAAAGAACTATTGATGCGTGTACTGTGAATACCGATACTAATCCTATCAATAAATCAATGAAACGAAATTACACAAAAGAAAATTTAATTATCTGTGGTCACTATTTAAACGACAAATGAAGCTTATCGATGAGCTCCTTGACAGTGAAATAAAAAAGATTCATTTAAAATTGGAATAGTAATTGATGTCAACGTCAAGGTTAGGTTTAAAAAAGTTGGCTGGTGTAGGGCGGTGAATATGTGAAAAAAATATGTTTAGCGCCAATTTTTTATTTTCGTTTATTGTCGAAATTCTTGTAATACTTTATCAAAATGTTGGTAAAAATATTTAAGACAACCTTAAAATGAGTATTTACAATTTTATTTATGATTCCCAATTGGTATGTATGTCATTCTATATTTCAAAATATTTAAAATTTTACATCAATATAAATAGAGCTACTGCACCCATACCAAGTCGCAGTAAATCGAATGAATTTCCCTTCAACTTGAAGCCCATCATGTATTTTCGATTTATACAATAGACTATTCAAATAATCCTTCAAGCTTGACAGGTTTCATTGCCAATAAAACCAAGATTAATGGCCATAACATGACAATAACAAACCGATAAAAATCAAACAAATGATCAGATAAAACTGCAAAATTTCTGCACGCATTCTTATAGACTTATTTCCATACTTACTGGACATTTGTAAGGTAATTTTTAGTCGTAATGAGAATTTAAAAAGAACAGTTGTCGTAGGTTCAATGAACTTTGCAATGTTCAGCTGACATCGCAATGCCGCGAAATATTCGAATTCCAAGGGCGGCCATGTTTGATTTTTGTTTTTATTTTTAAATTATAAATCGAACAGCTGCCTTTTTGACATGTGTGTTGATACATGAGTTTTTAATTATACCTAGGTGTTTTATTTGTTTTCACTTGATATTACCATTGATTCGATCCTGATTTAAACTGACCTATAAATATTAAAAAAGAAAACTTTACTAGGATTTATTTAATCTCTAATATTGAATTACATGCATATTTTCGTCAATAACTGGGCCATGACACGCACGTCAACAGCCTAATAACATTGTAAAGTTTTTAATGAGAATTTCTTAAAGTTGTTGAAGTCTGCTTCTACCGAGCTGGGTCGAGTCGTGAATGACCTAATTTCCATGATTTATGCTCTTAGTCCAGGAATAAGCTTTTGAAATCAATGTATAGTCGTTCCCGCGTTTGTTTTGCTTGAACGCTACACGAAAACTATAGTGGCCGTGACGAATTTGAAGGAAGCCTTTTTTGCTGTTGCATTTTTAAATATAGTTGTTTTCAAAGAAATTCGTTACCAATTTTCTAAATGAGTTCTGGTTTTTAATAGTTGTAGATGGTGAAGAACCATCTAAGTATTACCATTGAGATAAATAAATTTCTTCATATACAAAGACAGCTATTGAAGCAATAAATTAATCAGTGCTGCCAAGTTGTTAACATATAATTAATGTTATCTAAACGTTTTTAGGTTTTACAAAAATACTTTTATCATTGCTATGACATGTAATACAACACAAATCATGCAAAATATGAATAGTTAAATACAATATTACGCTATTCGATGAAAAGCTTACGATGTGTGACAGAAAATGTAAGTCAACCGAAATACACATTTACCTATTTATACAAAAAATAATGATACAAACAACCGAATAAATGCAACTGATTAAGCTTCTCATGTTTTATTACTGATATAAATACCTAAACTCAAATCCAACCACAGCTTAAATAAAATTTAATTCGCGGCAATAATTCTCTCTCGAACTAAATTTAAAATAACGTTCCATTTTGAAATTTCATGACAGAACAGAACGTCCATTTTGTCAGACACGCGTCGCAATGCGCGCGCCGACCGCGAAAATGAGCGCGAAAATCGACATAAAACTTTTAAACCATAATCACAATGACTGCAAAAGAAATATCGATTATTATGGCTGTGTTATAAAAAGATGATCGATGATCTCCAGCAAGTTGATTGGAAACACTTTTAATTATACTTATCGAGTTTTTCGTTGTACGCGAGAGCGTGTGACACAGTATTGTCGATTTCACTGAATCACTTTCTTTATTTACTTGTGTTTATGAGGTTGTTATGTAGTATATACATTTGTTTTTCATTGCACTATTAATCTTATGTAGCCGCCTTTGTTATTGTTTTTATCTTGTCTTCGAAGTAAAACACGTCATTTGCTTTAAAAAAAATTCAGTTGTTTGCCGAAAAAGAGCAACATGTTCTTTTGTCTGACTAATGAATGGATCACATTTTTTTGTATTAATTTTTAATCTTAACTAAACAATTAGCGGCTTCAAGACTCATCAATGCAGACATTAGCATTTTCATCATTAGTTAGAATTCAATGCATTTAATATTTCTATACCACGTATGACCCCAAAACCTAAAAATAGTTTAGACTTTCTGGTCTTTTCTTCGCTATTTCACCGCTAGAAGATTAAAAAGCCATTTGAAATTGGTTGCGTAATTGTCAGCATTGTTAGTGTGGAACGGATTGCATCAAGCGGACGCATTGGCAGACGAGACGAGACCAGTTATTTATTTCTTATTGGAACATCTGACCGGCAGTGGGCAGTGCGGTAGAAATTGGAGCAGCTTTCATTTGTCCGTCCTGCACAATCTATTTAGTTTTATATTAGGTTCTTTTCTGAAGTCATCGGATGAAGAAAATCGTGTCCTTGTATTACATGGGACACCTGTTCTACTGTTTGTCTAATACTATTCAATATTTGGTTTTTCTTAATTCACAGATTTCTGTTTAAAATAAATAACTGTAACTGCCCTCGTATACAAAAAAATCCATATTCTCTTATATGCTTTTCAAATGCTGACTGTCAAAATTGATTCAATGAGTTTATTTCAAAGACTAGTGCTACTATTCAACCAGATATTTTTTCTGTGCATTATTCCACATGTATAAAATTCCAGCAATTTGCAATGAAAATATGTCAAAAAAACATTTTAAATGTGTCGAATTATCTGGAACAAATGTACGTAAATAATTAGGTATCTCCGTTGTGGTATTTGGAAACTAATCTAGGTTTACAGTGTAGTCTGTCGGTGCCACATTCTATTACATACTAGTTTATCATCTGCTATTTTGTTGACGGCTGACGTGACCCGGTCCTACATGTTAAACTGGTGACTTCGCGCCTCAGCGGCAATTTTAAATTATCATTTTCTAATACTTCGTTGTTCCACATTACAGGTTGGTTTTTCAAAATGTTCTAGTCATAGAAACCTTTTCTGACTTAACAATCTTATCAATGTTTGGCCAAATCTGTAGAAGTGTTCAGTGTATTATGTTTTCTACATTTATTTTGGTTGTTTTTATCTCTATTGATTTCTTTTTTAAATAACCGTCTCTTTGTAACTCTATGTTCAGTAATGTCGATGTCAGTAGTCTTCATACTTCCAGTAATTTCGATGATTTGTTTAAAACGCATAAAAGCTCTTTCAAATAAACCTCTTTGAAATAATTCTGAATTTATCTCTTCATCTTAGTCATACACTATAGCTTCTAAACCATCTAAATGTTTTAGAGAATCTTCAAATCATTCTTACATAAAGCAGACTTCAATGTTTGGCATTTTCCCATTAGTTATTGTTTACACAACAAATCGGTCGATACTTTCAGCTATTACCCACTTAGTTGAAACCTCCCTTTTGGCGTATATCTTGTTTTTGCCAAACTACACAAATTCGGATGCGTGGTATTTACATTTACGTTAATTATAAAATTTCCTTGCCAACGTTTAGTTTAGCGTTTGCCAACAGTTTACTGTTTCATTGCATGTACGTCAAACGACAGTTATTATTTACTGAACATGTTTCCATACTGTCCGTACAATTCAAGTGCTTCATATTGAAATATGTTCCCGTCTCATATTTGGCATCGATTTGCGTAAGCAATTCTGATATTCTTGTTTGTACGTTTAATTGGTGATTATTTTCACTAACGCTTCGTGTTTACTTCTGCATTCTGAATAAATGATATTTTCACGTAATTACCTACTTTATGTTCTGATGATTATGGCACGGAATATTCTGGTTAATTCTGGTTCTTTCTATTTTGGAAGTTTCTCGCGTTCTAGAAGCTTGAAATGTTTGACAAACAAATCTCGGCCTTCACAGTTTCCGGACGGTTGCGTCTGCGCACATTTATCCTGCCAATGCGCCTGTGATCTATTGACATGCATATCGATTGACCTACTTCTCCCGTTTTGTATGAATAACTATGTTACGATAGCATATTTCGTTCGCATTGATTTAAGCGACCTCAGTGTTCGATTCAGGACGTTCGGACGTATGAATGTTGTCATTGGCTTCGTACTCGAATGTTTAAATGTTGAAGGTCCAGAGCGTGTCAGCCGCGTGTGCACTTCGACATCTAAGTAAACTAAAATAGTCGAGCGGCCGCGTCGTCGGCCCGGCGACCGAGATAGTCGGCGCAGTGCGTCCGCGGAGCCCTCTCGCGCCGGTTCTATTTCCAACTAATGTCCCGACGCATCCCGTAACGCTCGCGACAATAATACTGCAACGGATCACTGTGAAATGGCACTGGACTTTCAACGTTCGCGACACTTCCGCTACAGGAAACGCAAGCGAACAGCCTAAACCAAAATGCCACACGCGCCGAGCACAGAAGCCGTCGCCGTCAACGGGACGAGCTCAAACCCACTAAAACTGCAAATACCGGATCAATACAAAAATGCAACAAACGGCAATGGTGTGTGTTCTCCGCCTGTCAATGGAAATGGGTCTCTTCCACCAAACTTCAACGGACCTCTGTCACCACCCATACTGGATACAACGCCTAAGAAACCGCCTAAAGCTCCTCCAAGTAGACCCATTTTACCAGTGAAGAAATCCAAGACACTGCCAATCGACTTCGATGAAAAAGTTCCACCAAAGCCATCGTCTTCTATTCTAAATGGCAAGAAACTTTTTGTAACGAAACCTCTGAAGGAGGTCCATACAATTACACAACCTAACGGTGATAATGGACGATGTCTAGTAAGTAGATCTCCCAGCCCCTACAGAAGAAGTAATTCCACTGCTTCAGTAGAGACGGGCTCTATAGCAGAACTTGCTAAAAGACATGTTCCTGTTAATTTATTGACGTCGAGGTCTCCTAGTCCACTATCGTACAGCAGCGTCCGTAGTTCAGCAAGTCAATACTCGACATGTAGCAGCAACGGGACCTTTGTGCCATTATCACGTTCTTCTAGTATGAACTCAACGATGTATAACAGAACTCCTACTCCAAGACGAATGTATCCTCAAACCTGTGATAGTTCCGAACGCGTAGATTTAAAAGAACTGAGATCTCGAGAACAGGCTCCTGTAGTGTTTGATGCTAATATGTCATTTGTGCTCGGTTGTAATAAACAGCCCATCCGGCAAAAATTCAAGCCAATAGCAGCTCATATGGAAGAAGGAACGTCTTCCAATTATTTGAGCCACAAAATCGACAGTTTCCTACAGAGAACTGATCATGTTATGGATGAATGGCGAAGATTAGGACACAAAGATGACTCTGACATGATGTTCGATGGAAGAAAGAGGAGAGTTGGAAGGTCGAAGTCTGCGACGAACATCATGATCAAGGGTTTTACGTTGTTCAGCCGGAGTGGCAGCCGAGCCAGCAGTGTTTGCCGATCCAGCCGTGGGATTTCAGAAGACAGAACAACTGTCTCTGAAATGGACGAGGTGACTCATGCATACGATTAGTTTAAGATATCATAGCGTACAAATGTTCGAAAGCGTTCGCGATGCTCGTAAAGATAAGGCTAATACAGCGTAATAAATTATCGCCGGCTGCTTGGGATAGTTTCATGGGCTACTAGTGGCGCTTGGAACTGTGGCAGTTGGCTTTCTATTACCGCACGCGCGTCCGTTGCCAAAACATTTTTTTCTCATTGTTGACTGCGCGCAACGACGACATCTCTAACGCGCGACTCTGCTTTGTCCGTCAACGAGGTATTACGACATTGTCACTCAAATTGAAACAGGAAGCTTGTCTTTTTTCTAACGTTTGTGGATTTTTTATGTAGGAATTGTGTGCGTTTTTGGCAAGAGTTAAAGGTTGCTAGCGTTGCGAATTCGCCAGACAGTTTATATGTTAGTTGGGCCACCTACTCTCAGCGTCAGTGCGTTCCAAATTTAACTTGTTATGTTTGAAATGTTGCCGCTTAGTTAAATTCATTCAGCCACGTAATTGTCGCGTCATAAGTTAATAACAACGCATTAACCGATTTATTGGAGTTTGACATCAACATTGACGTTATTTATTACTTATCTTTCTCTATAATTGTCGCTAATGCAACAGCGGAAATGAAGATTGAAAACATCATTCGTATTTCGTACTTAGTCTGGATTTATTTCGACGTTGTCCCTTATTTTATGAAACTGGCGACTTAAATTTTAAAAAGGTGTTATGTTGTATTGCACCTTAGAGAGAGGAAAGCAATCATTACGTTATGCTAACGCAGTACAACCATAATTCAAGTCGATTAATAAGCGAGGTGTCGTATTATTGTTATGGAGCACTAATCACATGTCTGACGCGGTAGTGAAGTATTAACTACTAACGACTAGGAACATTGCAATTATCTACTTTCTAAGTAAAACGATTTCTCTCCATAAGACTATAGAATAATTTAAAGACTCGTACGTGCTGTAACTGAAGTGAAGTAGGTACTCATTTAACATTATACGGCAGACATTAATACTCTATTATTATTTGTGTTTTAATACTGGCTATTTGCCCATAGTTTGGTATCCCTAAATATCACCTTTTGACCATTCCTATCTTCAACATGTGCTTTGAAAGTTTATTTCTTCAATTTATTCGAAACAAGTTTTCTGTTTTTGCGAGCATCGTAATCTTACGTCGTAATCCTGCGTCGGAATTGGCTCTTTTAATGCATGGGCCATAACTATGCACTTCTCTTTAGTGCTTCAGGAAGTCGTTGTTATTATCAATTCTGAATAAATATCCTTTCTATTTGACTTGTGCGTCTTTCTATTTGTGGACAATTTCGACGTAATACGTATCGTAATATGCGTCTGTTATAATGTAGAAGGCTTTATTGTTAGCAATAAGGATGAAGTTTGAATGTCGAGCAAATAATTTATGGTTCGCAAGTAAACACTTTATGCATTTGATTTTTTTTTAATAATTCGTAACAACACTACATATTGTTATGGGCCTGTATTTCATGTTATGTCTACTGAAGTAAAATTTTATCTAATCTTTGTTCTCCAGCTATCAGAAGTTGGTGGCGAGCTCGCAGAAGAACGGGCGGCAGCTGGACTGGCGACAGAACGCGCTGATGCTGAAGCAGCCGAGAGGCTGCGCGTCGAACGCGACAACAGAGACCTGCTGGCTAACAACCAACGATTGCAGCAGGTTAGTTTAAAACATAAAATTCAAGTTCAACCGAAATCATTTTTAAATTGTCCTATAATGCACTTCTTAGTAAAATTTGATTTTCTGTCTAAAGGGCAGATTTTATATATTTAACGTCATGTTTTAGTTATTGAATATAATTTGTTAAAGACCTTTTGGACACTATTAGAAATTAAGATCCAATGCTGGATTGGGATCGACCAAGACTATTCGATTCTGCTGTATAAGATTGGTTATACAATCAGTCATCAGATCTTTACTCTTTAAAATATTTTTAAATTCATATCAAAAATCATCTTTTTTTTTCTTACCAATTTCTTTTCCCTACAGGCCTCCGAGCGACTGGAGCTTGAGCTCCTACACTGGCGTTCCGCTGACAGCGGTGGCGCTGAACCATCAGACTCTGAAGGTTCAGAAGCTGATGTTGCAGCCTCTGGAGACAAATACAAACGAAGATTCGAGAGGGCACACAGGGAACTGCAACTCCTCCGCGCTCAGCTGCGCAGGCAGCATGAAGATGACCTTGAACAGCTCGTCACAGTCAAGAAACAGCTGGAGAAGAAGGTAGGGGTCTTTAACCACTACTTGTGGGATTTTTGCAGGATATGTAGGGATGCTTTAAGAAAACATTAGCGTACCATGACCTTATTGTAGATTTACTGAAGAAAAGCTAGGTGGGCTTAACAACAGTATGTGAGGATCATAATAGTTAGGGCTCTGTAATTTCTGCTAAAGTAAAGACATCTTTAATTGAATTCCAAGAAGGTTTTTATTTCATTGAACTTTACCTTTGAAGAGGTTAGAGACTATTTACTGTCACACTACGATACTTAGCAATGAAAGACGTGAAAAAATCCAAGTCCATTAAAAGTATCCTCATTTCTCATCAGAAAAAATTATAAAACTATCAAATAACGAAAAAATCGCGGGTAACTGACGTGAATATACTGAAAAGAGCTCTCCTAGTTTCGAACCACAGAGGGGTTCTTCCTCATGAGCAGCGTGCGCGGTCGCCGCGACCGTGATTTTTAGTTAATTCAGAATATTTCAGTTTCCAAAACATTATAGTCCTTAAAAACGTCAAACTTACATGTAAGTACATAAACAGCCGGTACAAAGTACATACAGAGTTGTTTAAACTACGAAACAAAACAATGCTGTAGGATATGGCTCATACAAAGTTCATAGTTGACCTATATTATGTAAACGCAAACAGTTACAACTTCCGTGCAAACTAACTACATACTATGTCTAGAAACTGTATCTTTGATTTCGGTCTATAGTATTTGCAGATAACTTCTATAGTAGGTTTTAGACAAAAAGTATTAGTATAGGTAGTTTCTTCCAGACAAATTTCATTTCATTTATACCTATCAAATTCATTACAAAAAAAAATCATTTCAAAGAAATTTCATATAAATCCGTTCAGTAGTTTCATACTGAAAGAGTAACAAATATCCGAACAAACTTTTTGCATTTATAATTGAAAATAATATACCATAACATCACGCCTTTTATCCCCGAAGGGAAAAGGTGCACATTATGCCACTGTACAATGTAACACCCACTTTTCACTATTTATAAATCCCATGGCACAACCCCAGACTCCGAGATTTTCGAGATGCTACTACTGAGATTTTCTTTTTAAAACCCAGTAATACTTTGCCTGACCCGGGAATCGAGTCCGAGACCCCTTGCCCGGCAGTCGCACTTACGACCACTCGGCCAACGAGGCAGTCTTTGTAATTGAAATTACTGAAGTGGCAAGTAAAGATATATCGATACTTTCGCCCAGCCTTCGAATTCTATTAAAAAATCGATCTACATATCAACCAGCTGGAAAAAATATTTCCTAGATATAAATAGCTGCTATCCTATTTACACGCGGCCCCGTCTCTACTCACACGTCAGCATAGTCAGTTGCATTAAAAATGTTTGTTTGTCTGTCTGCGCTAATCTGAAAAAGTGCTTGTCTTAGATTGATGCATATTTGATGGTCGATGTTTTGCATATTTTTTGTAGTTTTTGCGTAACAAACTACCTCTAGAATGTTGTGACTGTTGAGCAAAAAGAGCCTAAGTTCGATATTTGGATTGAATAAATAAATAAATAATTTATGCTGATTCTGCACAGAAACTGAAATTATAGCCGGAACATTAATATAATATTTATTACATACAATGAAGTAATTAAAAGAGGTATTTTACGGAAAATGAGGCCTAGGTTAGTTCATAAATTTAGGCATCCAGTTATAATTTTTTTGCAAAAATTTTGAAATAAAAATTGCAATTTTCTTATCTTCAAAATTCAATCTACGTAGATTGCGTAATTGCATAATTAAACACAACTGATCTACATATTACTAATTGGAGTTTTAACGCTGTTTTAATTACTAAATATCTCCTTACTGAGCAGTTGGTAATGCAATAACGATGGAAAAAGACTTTGGCTTTGATACGTAGGTCGTAAGAACGGGTAGCCAGTGCCTTTAGCCAAACACCACTTTCGCACTTGTCTACAGAGAGAATAGAAATTAAATGTATGGAGATGACACTGACAAGTGTCAAAATTTACGTCAATCCCATATAATTTGATTTTCTATTCTACATGGTAAACAAGCGCTAAATGGCATTTGGCTACAGCTGCACGACACCAGTTCGAAGTTGGGGTTGGAACGGGGTGGTTTTTAGTCAGTAAGAGTCTGACACTCCCTCCCGCCTCATAACAAGCCATTGAATGATTTTCGCCCTCAAAAAAAAGGTTGTGAAAAGTAGTTGGTCACATTGGATAAGACAGGATGGGGTAATTGGGACTTAGGCAAAAATTGGGTGCTACAGTTTAGTATGTGGCATCTATGGCATTTAACTTGTCGCGGAGAACCTAACGGGTAACCGGGGCTCCGGCTCGACGTGCAGGAGAAGGAACGGGGTGGTTTTTAGGCAGTAAGAGTCTGACACTCCCTCCCGCCTCACCCAGGCGGGAGCAGGGAAGGAAGCGGGGAAAAAAAGGCATTAAACCTATTCCGCATCACAGGAAAAAACGCCGTCTTTTCTTATTATTTTAGTTAATAATGTCTTAATAATACCGTAATTATTTTATGAAGTTTTTCCGTGTCAGTGCGCGCCCACTGAAACAGTTATTTTTACGCAAGGAATTTGTCATTGAAGCATTATATTAATACATTATTTTGTAACTGAAATAACTTTATGAACTCATTCTCTGGAATTCATGGAATAAAATAATACTTAGATATATTGTTTTAAACTGATATATTTTCTTGAATTTAAATACTGGCTTTTTCGCTGTAAAAATCTACAGATATTTATTAGTTTTTTTTTTTATGTTTGCCAAGAAGAATTGTCTTTTATAGGTATCGTGTAAATATATGAATATAACAATTATTGCTTGGATTTTTTACTCAATAGTAGGCAGCTTTGTTCTCAAAATATTTTCCGAAACTACTACAAAAAATCATTGCGTATACTATGCAATGTCGTGTTATACGCTTGTACGGCTTAATTACGTAATTGTTTATCGAAGTAACCCGACTAATTTCGAGCCACACCAGAGCCCGTAGTCGTACATTTACGCGACGCTTGCATCATCTTATACTATTATATAAAGCGGAATTTGTTTTTGTTGTTTGTTTGAACGCGCTAATCTCCGTAACTACAAGTCTGATTTGAATAATTCTTTTTGTGTTGGTTAGCGTATTTATCGAGGGTGGCTATAGGCTATAAAACATTACGCTATGACCAATAGGAGCTAAGCAGAGCGTGTTAAACCGCGCGGAAGTAGCTGGTTAATTATATTTCTCAAAAATTAAACATAAAGTTTACATGCATAATGGAAAGTAAAGCTAATAATAAATAGTTGTTTCGACAAAAACATTAGCGTGTCCACGTAATAGTATGCTTGTATTTTTAGTGGGACATCCATGACCTAGACCGGTGCGGTCGTCTGTGCTAAGGTTGGCACGTGTGTACCTGCCTGTTACCTGTCGGGTGAACTGACTGATATTAATTGTTAATACATATTTATGTTATTTTGTACTAGCTTTTACCGGCTTCGCTCGCGTCACAAAAGGATAAAAAGTAGCCTATGTGACATATACCAATACACACAGCGCCATCTATACCAATACTTTTGTTTTCCCTCGAGAATATCAATTTTTCCGGGATAAAAAGTACCCTATTATTTAATCTGGACTTCTAACTTTACGTCTGCAAAAATTCAAAGCAATTGGTTTAGTAGTTACGGCGTGAAAGCGGAACAAACAAACAAACAAACTCACTTTCCGATTTATAATATTAGTAAGGAAGTAAGAATAAGCCGTGTGTTTAAGGCAGGATAGAATTCTTTTGACATTAATTTGGTGATCTGTATTCAATTTATAGATCAGTTTTAAAGGTCGAGTATCTCATTCACGTATAATGTAATTTTACTAAGGCCACAGTAGGGACTTAGTCGGTTAAGTAATCAAAAACGTTAGGGTATTGTGTTGAACCTGTGGCTGAATTAATAGTCGTCGTAACAAAATAAAAATCAAGCATTTTATGTTATACTAGTAATTACAATATTATTCAATAGTATATGTAGGACATAAATAAAATTAATAATAACTATTACTAAATGAAAATATATACAACTTAAAATATAAATTACTATGAACTAAAATAATAACACCTTAAAAAAATATAAATGATACCATAAAGCATCAAAAAAAGCATTCCATCAGAAAAAAGAATGTCCTTACTGACTACGCAAGTTCTCTCCAGGATCAACTTTAGTAAAATTTTTCTATGATTTTCTTATCACAAAACCACCTCACCTTTTTCGACCAAGACACCTTATATTACAGACTCTATATCAATTCCTACTGGTTCCTAAACGTGTCTACATAAACCGAACTAAAACATAGACACATATTAGCATTAGAATACATCAGATTCCTAAATGACGTCATAGGCCGTAATGATTACAACATAGTAAATACATGTATGAGGCCTATCGTCTAGGTGTACTTATAGTAAATTTTTATCTCGCCGTATCTCATACTTGGCCCAATGTTCAGAACTTGTTATCAACTCATCCCGATACTATCTTAGTTCTTTATCGGCATAATTCGGTCAGTTATCGAACGTGCGAGACGAATTTTTTAAACATTTTTCTTATTTGTTATTCAATTTTGAATCTGTGATTTTATTTTTTTTAATGTGATTTTGAACGCATTCCTTTTTTGAAATTGTTAGTTTAAATATTTTATTGATTTACTTTTGAATCTGTGGTATTAACTTTTTAAAAGTGTGTTTTGATAAATATTCTATTTTCGAATTGCGATTTTAATTTTTGAAAGTGTGATATTTTTTCGTGGTCGTTACTGTTTTTTTTTTTATAACTGTGACTGTGAGTCATGTTCGGAGTTGAATGTCGTAATTTTAAATGGCTTTCTCGCGACAATAAATTTTTATTTGAAACGATACGATGCCGAAGTAATTAATGTGACGAAAGATTTAAGTAGATTTAAGTACTTACTATGTCATTATTTAGATGCCACATATATTAAAAACAAAAAGTTGATGCGTCTGCTCATACGAACATGCATTTAAAATTGATAAATACGTACCTACGTAATGTTATTTAATACTTTTTCATATTGAACTGCTTTCTACCGCTGATAAAGCTGATGTACTGTGTCATCAGTTTGTTTATTAAGAATGTAGGGATACAAAGTCAATTTATTCAATGTTTTAAACAGTATTTTAAATGGTTTAGTAAAAGTGAACTGTTGTTGTTTGTGTTTAAAGTGTAAATAGACTTTTATAGTCTGTTTTGAACTTAAATTTTTAAGTAAAATTAAATATCACAATATTAAAAAAGTAAGTGCTATAATAGTGTAGTGATTTCAAGTGATTAAAACAATATTGAAGTGTATTTAAAAACTCATACATTCTTATGAAATGTGTGTAAGAAACATGTACTACGAAAAATCATCAATGAAAATATTTCGAACGTCAAAAGTGTATTGACACCGGTGCCTTGTAATTTACGACGAAGTAAATATTCGTAATTTCAAATTATTTCGTAATTTTTCTGAATGATATACGATGGAGAGTGAGCCAGAGGTTAGTGAACTTTAATATCAACGTTTGATGTATGTACCTATGTACAGTCAAGTATGAAAATCACAGCATAGTTGACGTAGACTGCACGGTTGACGCGGGTTCGATTCCCGCACGGAACAACTCTTTGTGTGATCCACAGTCCACAGATTGTTGTTCCGGGTCTGGGTGTCATGTGTATGTGATATTGTATGTTTGTAAAACGCACCCACGACACAGGACAAATCCTAGTATAGGGCAATGTTTTTTTGTTTTAAATAGTACCTACCTATTATAAAGTCATTTTTCACTGCGTGTCCATATGTATCTAAGTCTTTAAAACTGTCACAGAGAACCTAACGGGTAACCGGGGCTTCGGCTCGACGTGCAGGAGAAGGAACGGGGTGGTCTTTAGTCAGTAAGAGTCTGACACTCCCTTCCGCCTCACCCAGGCGGGAGCAGTCATTCGATGATTTTACCCCCTTAAAAAAAAAAAGTCTTTAAAACTACGCGACGAATTTTGATAACATGTGATCTTTATAATAGATAATTATTCGAGAGGAGGCTTTGTACCTATAATATGTATACGTAAATTAACTCGTGCGAAACCGAGGGCAAATGATATTGAAGTTATAAGATGATCTTTAAATAACATATCTATTGACGCCTCGATAGAAGTTTTAAAATAAAATAACTAGAATGAAACTTATTAACTATAACTTGAAAAAAGATATAAAATAAAAAATCCTATATAACTATTGCAAATTTAATAGCAACGTTAATCGACTGACTCATTCCAACTATTTTATACTGTTTGCAATAAACAATGTCAAGGTTTCTCTCAAAATACGTATCTAAAAATTGTTCCTAAACACAATATTTCTGAATCATCTCGGGTTTTTCACTGAAACTTTTTCGAAACATGAAAACATTACGTAGATAAGCTTTCTGCTTACGTCTTCGCTCGTCTGGAATTTATAAGATTTTCTTCAAGTATCCTAACAAAATACCAAAATAATAGCATTAATGTCCGCCTTATGTACCATTGCTTCTTTTTGTGTACATTAAACCTTGAATAAATTAATAACACGAAATCTATATTACCCCTTATAAAGTAAACATTCCTAATTTTTATTTTAATGTCCGTCTGGTAGATTATTTTAAATCATTAGACACGTATTTTTTATTTTCTTACAGAAACGAATACTTTCGACGATATATTGATTTGAATTTGACGTCACTTCTATGTACATTTTATACGTAGAAATGACGTTCTAGCCCCCACTCCTAAACTTTGATTTGTTTTATCTAAGTATTGTTTTATTATACGACAAAATAAAAAAATACGTGTCTAATATTTTTTCATTACCTAACTTACGGACTAATTACTTCGATTAACACAATAAACTAAGTAATTGTAACTAAACGACACTTATTTCTGCACATGAGTGTACATAATTATTTACTTGTTTTATAGTAATCGGTTACGGTTGGCGTCGGTCCAACACTGCCGGTGCGGGTCGGATTACGTTTCAAAATATCTATGTACAACATGTGTACATGAGTGTAGTGTTTTAATACTTATAGCTTTCAATATTATTGTGTATGCTAAAGTGTGATTATATTGTTGTTTGAGCGGGTCTAAGCACAATCGTTAAGTCTGTGGTATACAAAAAACTATGATAATTCTTCGAAAAAAGTACCTTATTTTGTATTTTTGATGGGAGGGAAACCTTCAAAAGGCGACTAGCTTTTGCGGGAGAAAGACTAGGGAGTGTGGGATTCGTACCTCACTGAAACCACTTCGGTTGGTGCCACTCACAAGGCGGTTGCCTCCTCGACGCCTTCTACAAGCAGGATCGGCCCTCTCGCGATCCCGCTCAGCAGCTTCCTTTTGGGACATTACTGTCTCACAAAAGGATGCTACTCCCCTCCACTTTTCTGTATCTACCAGCATAGCCTTAAAAGTCTCGCCCGATCCTGGCAACCAGGACTCGCCGCTCAGAGGTCCACTTAGGCACACATCGAAAAAAAAATAACTATGTATGATAATATTACTTTCTTCGATAAGATCTTGATTAGATATAGTGCGATATTTCCACATAGGTATTTATCTAAAATGAGTACCGACATGTTAAGAGAAGTGTTCGTTTTATATGTAGATATACTGCTGATGTTTGATTGTGTCCGTAGCCGCCACTGAATACTTACCATCAGGAGATCCGTCTGCTCCTTTACTCATTAAACAATTTCTAATATCATTATTATCTTGTCACCAGGTACAGGATGCGTATGAAGAAGTGGAAGAGCAGAGGGCGGTGGCTGCACAATGGAAGCGCAAGCTGCAGAAGCTGACCAACGATATGGCCGACCTTCGATCATTGCTGGATGAACAGGTAATCTGTGGTACTCGTGGAGATCTTGATAGTAACACATTTTACGGCCGATATCTGTAACCAAACTCAGTTCAAAAATCTCTGGAGCAAGTCTTTGATAGTTAAAGTGACAGAACTAAGGTCGGAGCTAAATTAAAGGTGGACGGTCACGTACCTATCATCTTATTTTGGATCTGGTTAGGATTATACCAATTCTTTTCCCATTTTGCAAACTAAAATGGGAAAATTGGCAACGTTGCGCTTTCGGTGTTTTGTTCTTTGACCTAGTGTCGTGTTTAAAGCCGTGTGCTGCGTTGGTCGTGCGCACGGCCTTAAGGTTGTTTACATTTCCTGAAAAAGAAAAATGCACTTTTTGACTTAATTACTGAGTGGATTAGGCACTGTCGGCATAGACGATAACAAGTATGTGGTATAATAGAAAGGATAAAAAACATACTCCATATTGTATGTATTCAAACATTTTAGATTGTTGGATTGTCATCTTTGTTTCTTATTCTGATGGATAAGAACAAACACCATAATTGTAACTTGGATTCTTCGATGTCTTCCATACGGTATTGTACTCAATCCTGCGCACGTTTAAGCTATCAGAACAAAGATAATCAGTCATCAAGCATACTTACCTACTAAATAATTAAAAAAACCCCAACTTTACATAGGGCTGATACATTTTTAATATCTTATCATCCCTATTCCTAATTAACTATTGCCGGAATACTGAAACGTTACTCAATTTTAAGTCGTGCTCAAATATCGTGCCATCTCTGTCATTTTACAAAGAATTTGTGGAGACAGAACTATACTTAAGCGCGACTTAAAATTGAGTAGCGTTTCAGTATTCCGACATATGTCCCCAATTTCTGAAGGCACACCTAATTTATCAACCCTATTTTAAAACTATACAAACTAAATATTATCTGTATATTCCAGACATGTCGCAACAATCTGTTAGAGAAACGGCAGCGTAAGTTTGACGGCGAGCTTCAAGCGGCGCAAGAGGAGTTGAAGCGCGAGCGCGGCGCCAAGGAACGACTGTCGAGGGAACGAGACCAGGCACACGCCGAGAAATACGCGCTGGAACAGAGCCTCTCTGTAAGTAGACCAACTTATTATTTGAAACCATGCCTTCTAGTGTCCATTATACCTTGTTAATGCCCGAATACTGAAACATTATTCAATTTTAAGTCGCGCGTGCATAGTTCTGTCACTACAAATTCTTTGTAAAATGACAGAGACGGTACTATATTTATGCACGACTTAAAATTGAGTAACGTTTCAGTTTCCCGGAGGTTTAAGACGCCCGCTTCTCATGCATGAGGGTGCGGGTTCGAAACCTACCAACAGCAAGTACCAATGTGACTTTTTCCGAGTTATATGTACTTTCTAAGATTATTTAGACACCACTAACAAACGGTGAAGGAAAATTTCGTGAGGAAACCAGAGCTTATAATTTCTAATTATAAGTTTGAAATCACCAACCCGCATTGAGCAAGCGTGGTAATTAATGCTCTAACCTTCTCCGTATGAGAAGAGGCTTTGCTCAGCAGTGGGCATTTATAGGCTGTTGATGAACGTTTCAGTATTCCAGCATAAGTGATATCATGGCCTCACAGAAAATTCCCGAATCCCCAAAACGAATTTATAGCTCCTCTGGTGTAGTGTACAATGTCTATGAAATATGCCGATTGCTTAACATCAGGTGAAAAAACTGATAGTTGCCGCCTTACCTCTAAAAAAAACTTATGTCTCCTTGTACTTGTACTTGTACCTATTTACACTATTACCTATCCAAGAGAGTAGACATGTTTTGTTAGCTTGAAAACTTAAATCTGAAACCAAATCACGAAAAAGACCTAAAAAAATGCTCTCCCTAAAAGCTTTCGTAATATGTTTAGTCGCAATGCCTTCATCAATGCCCTTTCTAACTCCAAATTCCTCATTTCCACCACCAGGAAGCTCGTCTAGAACTGGAGCTGAAAGAAGAACGGCTGGCTGCAGCAACACGTGAGTTGGAAGAACGTGGCGGCGGCGGAGATGAACTGTCCGCTCTACGCAGGACCAAGACCGACCTCGAGCGACGCGTCAGGGACCAGGAGGAGGAGCTCGATGAACTGGCCGGACAGATACAGGTATAGTGGTTTTTTATAGACTATTGGTCTTTTAGTCTTTTCGGTCTACTGGTCTTTTTAGGTCTACTGGCATTTACAACATGTAGTGATATTTTGTTTTGACGTATTCGTTTTTAAAGTTTTATTTGTAATATATTCCTACTAGCTTTTACCCGCGGCTCCGCTCGCGTCACAAAAGGATAAAAAGTAGCCTATGTGACATATACCAATACACACAGCGCCTCTATACTATATATATACCAATAATTTCGTTATCCCTCGAGAATATCAAATTTTTCCGGGATAAAAAGTACCCTATTATTTAATCCAGACTTCGAACTTCACATCTGCAAAAATTCATAACAATCGGTTTAGCAGTTACGGCGTGAAAGTGGAACAAACAAACAAACAAACTCACTTTCCGATTTATAATATTAGTAAGGATTTAAAAAGTGGTGTATTGTAATTTTGATACAGATAAAGATCAGTCTGATATATTACTCGACCCATTTGATTATTTCTATTTCCAGCTTCACTACAAGCTTGCAAATATTTTATATCATAAGGAAAATTGGTACAATACGTTAATTCAAATTAACCAATAGTAACCTTCTTTATTTTGAAACAAAGTATTTACCAAACATTTCTCTGTCTAGCTACTGGAGAGCTCCAAGCTCCGGCTAGAAATGTTACTGGAGCAGCAACGCAAGGAGGCCAGACTCGAGGCCGCCGCCAGGGATGACGAGATGGAGGAGACTAGAGCCAACGCTGCTAAGAAACTTAAGAGTAAGTACTTTTTGCACCTAGATCATCAACAGCCTATAAATGCCCACTGCTGAGCAAAGCCCCTTCTCACACGGAGAAGGTTAGAGCATTAATCACCACGCTTGCTCAATGCGGGTTGGCGATTTCAAACTTATAATTAGAAATCCTTCACCGTTTGTCAGTGGTGTCTAAATAATCTTAGAAAGTACATATGACTCGGAAAAAGTCACATTGGTACTTGCCGTTGGTAGGTTTCGAACCCGCACCCTCATGCATGAGAAGTGGGCGTCTTAAACCTCTGGGCCACCACCACCTAGATAGATATGCACCTAGATATAAAGGCGTTATTTGAACGCAATGTGCAAGGAAACGAACTAACCTTCTTTGCTCTTACAAGACACTCAATTCCAAATTGCAAATAAGCTGTAAGCTGCAAGTAAAGGATTTTTTCATATTTAGGGGGTTTCAATCATCAACCCAATCGGGTACTTGCCAACTAGACAAATTCAATTTTTTTTCGAACTGTCAAAAACGACAGTTTTCTATAAATTTTTTACGATATTGTATAATGTGACGTCACATTATTTTAGCGTCAAACAGCATACTTTATTCTTGAAAAAGTGCTGGAAAAAATAGGGACTACAATAAAAGCATTCAATGAAATTGTGATTATTTTTTAATATTTTTTGTTTTGAACAGTTGAAATAATTTATTTTCTATTAAGGAAAGTACCAAATTTTACCTTATACCTACTCTATTTTCATAAAATTATTAAACACCTATTATTGACACGTGTTTTACTTAATACTGTGCTTATGCCTAAGCAAGAAAAGGTCTTGATTAAACTATTGTGTAGATTTAAAATGTTAAAAATATTTTCGATTCTGGGTGGCAGGCGGGCTGGATATCATAGTTTGAAATATTCAGGTTTATCAGAAAGGGCGATTGCCTATACTCCGTCAAATGTCTCTTAGTCACCTCTTACGATATCCGCGGGTAGGGTAGATGTGTCTACCAGTACCTACTACACTGCTTGATGAGCAAGCATAAGAATATAATAACCTAATATTTTTTCTATAATTTGAACCTTTCTAACCAACCCTCCTAACATTTCAGTGCTAGAGTCCCAACTAGAGAGCGAGCACTCAGAGCGTAGCCTACTACTGCGCGAGCGACATGAACTGGAGCGACGCCTGGCGGCCTTGGAGGAAACTGCCCGGGCAGAGACACATGACCAACAACAACTTGTGCAAAGGCTTAAGAGGTAATTTTATTGTTTATTAGCTTCGGCCCGCGACTTCGTACGCGCAATCCCGTTTTCTCCCGTTCCCATAAGATTTTCAGTTTTTTTTTTCTATCATAAGAACCTTCTCCTGTTATTGTCAAATAACAAACACAACAAAAAAAATCAGCCAAATCGGTCTAGCCATTCTCAAGTTATGGCGTGACAACGGGAAACGGGTTTGATTTTTATATATATAGATTGTATGGCCTAACTATTAATTACAATAACTTAATATATATAGAAGAGTTTCTAACGTAATTAGTGTGTGTTGCGCAAACTTTTGCGCAAATATGCGCAAAGATGTTTACTTAAAAATTTAAAATAAACTGATATCCAGAAAGTTTCTAGTGCGGACATCCTTGCATTCTGTTGCGCAAAGACAGTGATAGCGAAAGTTTTTGTTTTGGCGGTTATTGCGCTAAATGTTTTAAGTACACAAAAATTCAATTCAATTTGCAGATTCACTTAAAAGCTTTTACTTAAATATATTACTAGCGACCCGCCCCGGCTTCGCACGGGTGCAATAAGCATGTATTATACATATAAAACTTCCTTAAGAATCACACCATCTATTAAAAAAACCGCATCAAAATCCGTTGCGTAGTTTTAAAGATCTAAGCATACATAGGGACAGACAGACGGCGGATAGCGACTTTGTTTTATACATAAAACTTGAGTTAACTGCCTCATTGGCCGATTGGTCTCGTGGCAAGTGCGGCTGCCGGGCAAGGGTCTCGGGTTCGATTCCCGGGTCAGGCAAAGTATTACTGGGTTTTTAAAAATCTTAGTAGTAGCACGGAGTCTGGATTTGTTTCCGGTATATGGCAATAGGCTCACCCCCATTACATGGGACTCATAACATAAATAGTGAACAAGTGGGTGTTACATTGTATAGTGGCATTAAGTGCCGTAATGTGCGCCTCTGCCTACCCCTTCGGGGATAAAAGGCGTGATGTTATGTTATGTTATAAAACTTGAGTTAACTTTTAATTTGTTTTCAGGGATTTGAAGAGATACCGCGCTCTACTCCGCGACGCTCAAACGATGCTCGAACAAAAAGAAAAGGAGGGCGGCGCTAAGGCACAGATCAGACAACTGAAGAACCAGGTATGTAAATATTAAACCGACATATTTTAGTTGAATTGAACTTTAGTGGGAAACTAGCGGACCCGTCAGACGTTGTCCTGCATATCCACTTGAATGATAAACAAAAATTCATTTAAATTAGTTGAGCCGTTTAGGATAAATAACCTACACATCGACTGCAGCGCCATCTGCTGGGCTGATTTGTAAATCTAAACTATCCAGGGCGTCAATCAAATGTGTACAGAAAAATTCATTTAAATCGGTCAAGCCGTTTAGGAGGAGTTCAATGACATACACACGTATAGCAGAATTATATAAATATATATAAAGATTACTAACGCGTCCCCTATTAAAATCAATATTTATGACTTTGAATTGTGCATTGTTATAAAATTTAAACTGACATATGACTATATACATGGTAGAATTTTGTAAAGCCACCTGAAGGGGAAATACTCTTAATACTTTAGATAGACAATTTTATTCAAAGAAAAAATTTATTCCTTTATTTTTGAAAAGAAAGAAAAATGGATTCATTTTTTTTTATTCGCTTGTCGCACACGGTTATCGAACCGACTAAAATCTGTAAAAGTTGCACCCTGTACTTTTATTGCATTGATTTTTAGTTATTACATAGTGAACTTCAACTCTCAACTGGGTGACATTTTCATAAGATTGAATGTAAATATGATTTGTTACATATCCCCACAAAAAATCATTATTAATCCTTACGATCAATAAAAGTAAAAAAAAAAATGAAAGTACAGGGTGCAACTTTTACAGATTTTAGTCGGTTCGATTCCTGTGTGCGTCAAGCGAAATTTTAAAAATATTTGAACGCCGTTTTCTTTCATTTCGAAAATAAAGGAATGTTTTATTTGAGTAAAATTTTCTATCTAAAGTATTAAGAGTACTTCCCCTTCAGGTGGCCATTACATAATTCTACCTTGTATACCTATATTAATATAAACAACAATCAAACATTGTTGCAACACCTTTCTGGCCCAACAAACACGACTAACTTTACTTTTTAACCCTTTGAGTACCGTCATTATAGACACAATTAAAGAACAATAGGTTGCGGTCACCGGTGTCCTCGCGGTGTATGACAGTTTAAATACTGAAATACCCACCCGCTATAAAAGTGAAAGAAGATGTACATATAAAAGAAAGATACAGTATGAAGCATAAAAGTGCGAGAGGTATATAAGCGAGAACTGGAATGAAAGTGAAACTGGATTAAAATAGGCGCCAATACCTTGGCGGCGTAGTCAGGAAAAAAAAATTAAATAACCTAACACAACTAAATTATAATACGTAACGACATTCTCCCTAACCTCTCTCCAGGTGGAAGACCTAGAGCTGGCAGTGCGAGCAGCCACCAAAGCTCGTCAGGCTGCCGAGGCTGAGGCTGCGGAAGCTAACGCAGCGCTAGAAGAAGCCAGCCGAGCCCGGGCTGATGCAGCCGAGCGGGCCATGACTGCGGCCAGGGACGCCGCCGCCGCCAGGGCGCAGCTTGATGATGCAGAGGAGGAGGCGGCTGAGGTAAGAACTGTGATTTTTGTTGTTACATGAAATCAAATCAAATCAAATCACTTTTATTTGTACATGGGAATTTTAATGCAAATTTCGAGGCTGTGGGTATGATAGACGTGTGGTTAGTAAAATACGGTTTTATTATTAATATTAAATAATTATTAATTTGATAACGACTTCACTAAAAATCGATTTTTCCAACGCCAGATAAATTTTAACTGAGGAATAAGTTTGAATATTTGTCAATTCATACATACTATAAACTGTGAAATGTCAATTTATTCTACAGTTAAGAATGAACTGAAGATTGAATAATCAGCCCTAATTAGTTTGTTTTATTATATAGATATTTATTAGATATTTGTGAAGTATAAGTTTCATTTAATTTAATGCTGACTTTAGTATCTCTAACGAAATACTTTATATCGAAAACCATGGCAGTAATGTTCCTAAATAACATATTGAAATTACTCATATAACGTTTTAGTTTTAGTACCTATTTCACTTAATAATAATTCTTAGCACCAAATCTGTTAGAAAACCCTTTAACTTCATAAAAAACACATTTAATAACACAATATTTCCTTCCACAGCTATTAAAGAAGTACCGATCGAGTACGAGTGCACTAGTGGGCGCGCAGAGCGAGGCGCGCGAGGCGTGCGCGCGCGCCGACGCGGCGGCCGACGAGGCGCGCGCCGCGCGGGACAAGCTCGCTGACCTCACGGCGCGACTCGCCAGCGCGGAGGCAGGACACTCGCACGGACACGCAGAGGCCGAGCGCAGGCTGGAGCTTAGGAATAAGGTACAGAGAAACATAATCATTACATACCGAATTGGGTAGTTTCCGGGGTCAAAAATAAATTATTTTGATTTTTCAATCCAATTAAATATTGAAAAATAGTTACACTTTCATTCATTGATTTCCCGATATACTTAATTTTCGATTTATTCTTGCATTTTCTTCAGATATAAGTGTGCTATTTGACGCGAAAATATGATGACGTCATAAGCTAGTATTTCGTACAAAATTCATAGAACAGTATCGTTTTTGACGTTTCGATAAAAGTATTGAATTGACTAGTTGTCAACTACCGTATTATGCCCATTTTCACCAACCCTTATACTAAGAAACTCTTTGTTAAGACATGGTTTTAAGAGTCGTTGATGATAAGTTCATTAGTTTCACAAAGTGTTCCCTACCGGACACCTCTTCCGACTTAAACTATATCCAATTACCTAGTGAGGATAAAACAAAGATTAATTTTAGGGAAAAATTGGAAGTTTTTAGTTTGCATAATGTGCATTTAAACTATCTTTAAGTTCATATTTTCGAAATTTAAGATATCAAAAAAAAATTGGCAGCATAATTTAAAAAAGTATCTTCATTCAAAAAATACAAATATTGATAAATTCATGAATGCGACTCTTAAATATATATTTATAAAACTAGCTTTTACCCGCGGCTTCGCTCGCGTCACAAAAGGGTAAAGAGTAGCCTATGTGACATATACCAATACATACAGCGCCATCTATACCAATACTTTTGTTTTCCCTCGGGAATATCACATTTTTTCGGGATAAAAAGTACCCTATTATTTAATCCAGACTACTAACTTTACGTCTGCAAAAATTCAATGCAATCGGTTTAGTAGTTACGGCGTGAAGTCGGAACAAAGAAACAAACAAACAAACTCACTTTCCGATTTATAATATTAGTAAGGTTAAATAAATATAATAATATTACTTCCGTGTCCAGGAGTTAGAGTCGAGCCTGGAGCTGGAGGCGACGGCCCGCGGGCGCCTGGAGGGCCAGCTGTCGCGGCTGCGGGAGGCGCACGAGGCGCTCGCCGCCGAGCTGGGCCAGGCGCGCGCCAGGGAACTACTCGCGGCTGACGAGCTGCGGAAGGTTACTAGGCAACTCAGGTCGGTATTTGCTTTCGCTATTACATGGGACTATAATAACATAAATAGTGAAACGTGGGTGTTACATTGCATAGTGGCATAATGTGCACCTCTGCCTCTCCCTTCGGGGATAAAAGGCGTGATGTTATGATGATGAAATTCTTTGTAAAATGACAGAGATGGTGCAATATTTAAGTACACCTAAAATTATAGTAGCCTTTCAGTGTCGGGGTGTGAATGAAGTATCTTATAAAGTCATAAAAAATTAGAATTTCGCGTGTAGATATAATAATATGACGTTTTCATAAACGCAAAAATTTGGATTGATTTGATTACGATGTGATGCGGAAAAAATGGAGGTCTTAAGAATAACATACACTATTCAACGTTATCCGAATAGAGAGATAACTCCAACACGCCAACTAAAATATCACTAAAATAAAAACATGTGGAAATTCTTGTTTATTGAATTCAATCAACTTTTTTCTTACAGAGAACTCAAAGAAGAAAACAGCGCTCTGAACGCTAAGCTAAGCGAGGCCAACCGTGCTAAGTCCGCGGCCGAGTCTGCGGCCGCCGCTGCCTCAGCCGAGGCCCAGGCCGCGCGGGACGAGGCCAGGCTCGCTGCACGCAGGGCCACTGCACTACAGGAGGCCATCGCTGGAGACCTGTCCAGCCCTGGAGATTCTAGAGACACTGATAGGTATGTTGTAATTGTGTTTATATTTGTAATTGTGATTTTATTAATCGTTTTGTAGTAAGGTAATACAAGTTCGTTGTGTTGCCAGTTGAAAAATATCAGGATATTTTGCATAGAACTCAGTACAACTAGATTAATAAAATATAGATCGCAGTGCATTTAGTTACCGTAAACTATCTAATTTAAACTTTATAGTTTTCTATCTAAGTCATAAATTCGTTTATAAGAACAGTTTAGTAACTGAATGTAATTTCCTCAGATACGATGTGATCATCACATAATACGAGTATTATTTTACCATTCTACTAATAATAATTATGTTCTTATTCCCAGTGACAACGACAGCTACAGCTCAGACGAGTCTATCGGCACGTTCCTGGCGAACCACAAGCTCAGCCCCTCCGCGCCCTCTAGGAACAGCGTGCAACTAGACACACAGAAGTATGTATACTAATCTATACCCAGAAATAAATATCATAAAATAATTTTAATCCATTGTCCTTTTTGAAGTGGATTTCTGTAAAGTTTAGTAAGTTTAGAAACCCACTACAACTATACTAAATAACAGTTTCACAAATAAATTTTCAAACTTGCTTGACAGTCTAGCCAAGATTACAATGATATTTGCAAGAGTAGGTACTAAATATGAAAGCCACCATTGCCACCTACAATGCCTTACAAATCAACAACCAAGCTAAGTTTACTATACAATATTAATCTTTTCTATTATCCCCCAGATCCCAATCATCCGGAGGCCGCGAGAGTCGGTCCAGCATGGGCTCCAGCAAGCAGATGAGTCCCACTAAGGAATCGTTCGCATAACAACGCGCCGGTGGCGCGGGCGGCGGGCTGCTGACGCGCGCGCTGCCCGCGCTGTGCGCCGTCTTCTGCAGCCCGCACACGCCCGCGCCCGCGCCCCATATCGTGCTCGACTGAAAACATAAACGTCAAAAATGACATCTGTCAAAAGTGACAGCTGTCAAAAGTTGGCGCCAAAATGTGTGTGAGATCAAAGACTCCTCAGTGCGAATGAAATGTTCTATTCAAATATGCATATGCACCCCATACCAGCGATGATTATTATTAAACAATGTAGCAATGGTACTCTACGCTTGGAATTCAATGTAACGATGGCTCCTAAATTAGACTGCTCAGTAAAACAATAATATTATCACTTTTGAAAAGCATTATACACTAATCGATTTATTATACATTCGAAACTTTCATGTATTCATAGAAAAAGCTTTTGATATGAAATTATTAACGCGTTTGATAAAGATGTTTAGGTAATTCAGTGTATTTAGTGACAGATGGCGCTGGTGTCCTGGCCGGTGTTGCCAGGTATTAAAAATGAATGCATTCCAGATTTAAAAATATCTTTAAATAAAGAAGAACTTCTGAGTACTACAACGCCGGCGCCATTATACCTAGGCTTTGACTTTAATTTATTTAGCGTAGAATTATTAGGGAATTAATTAATTGTTTAGAGATCACGCGGCGACCGGCCAGCCAGTCAGTATTTAGACGGCCTAGTGGCGTGTAACTTACAAAATAATATTAGGTTCTTTGTTATTTAGTTAGCTAACTTTTGTAAATAACTAGATGGCATATACATTTTTATTATTTAATTTGTAATATTCGTGTGATCAGACTGTTATTCTATGATTTATTTGTTACAAATGAGTTGTTGCTTTATCGTAGACTTGAAACATATCTAATAGTTAAATAGAACATGTTTTTTTTAAACTCCATTCATGACTGGTTTGTTTTATAGTAATTTTAATATTAGACGATTATCTTTAAAACTATGTACTCCTGATTATAGAGTTTCTTGTAATTGTATACTCCATTACTCTCTATGTACGTATTACGTCTATATGTCTGTAACCAATTTATGAAATTATCTAATTATTATGTGTACGTACTATAATGTGATGAAATGTTACTGCATTCAATACTGGTTGTAAAATGAAATTATTTAATAAAGTAACGGAAATATATGTGTTTGTTTCATTTTTACCCGTAATCATCATCATCAACAGCCGAAAGACGTCCATTTCTAGACAAAGGCCTCCCCCTTAGTCCTCCACGTCGAATGGCACCAGATTTTCGGTGGGGTTCCAACAGTTATCAGAAACATAAAAAAATCCAAGTCATAGTTTTAAAATTACAATGACTTATGTGTTATCCATGGAAGAGTACACCCTGTACCAGTCTTTTGACTCTTGCTGCTACAATTCTTTATTTTTTCGTTAACGAGTATATACTTTCTTTCTTTGAGTATATACTTTCCTTAATCAAAAATGAACTATTTCACTTGATCCTCCTGATAAATCCCCCGAACATTAAACCGAAACAATCCTTACAATTACCCTTCCTCCTAACACCACCAGGATTGTTGCCATGCTGTAGAGTAGGTTGTCATTTAGGTACTAAGGCCCTAACTTTGAGCAAGTGTTGGAAGGAATTGGGTGGTTTTTAGTTAGTAAGAGTTGAAAGTGTCACTTCTTCAAGAGCCATTTGAAGACTTTTTACCGACCAAACAAAAAGGGAGGTGGCATAATAGGTATTTGCACGCGGACGCTCGAATAGCTAGCGGCAGGCTAGCTTCCAATAGAGCTTACAATAATTCAAAGGTAAATTGGTAGTATTTCAACACACAGATATACATTTCCTCCTGTTGCATCCATTTTATCACAAGGAATAGTCCCCGCCCAAAAGAGCACCCACAACCGCTGCGGATCTGTTTGATGGCTATTTTCAGGTTGCAGTCCCTTGCTCACTTTCATCAGCCCTCCTGATTAGTTTGCTTAACGCGTCTTCACTGTTATCTGTGTAATAGATGTAATCATGCGTGTGACGCGATATTGCTACTACCGCGTGTGGTATGCTATCGTGAATTTTATGCTTCTTCGTTGCTGTGCTCACAACAACCACATTCTCGCTCGAAAGACTCTATGCCTCGATGTGAGGACGCGTGATCCCACGGTCGACTCTTATCTCTGGTTCTTAAAGGATTCCTTTTCAGTTGTAGGGTTGACAATTAGATCTTTATCCGCTTCAAATTGATCTACTATCCATGTCGTTTTTCTGCATCCAGGGACGCCATTCGTCCAGTGAAACCTAGGAGAATGCCAGTTCCCAAAGACTACGCCGCCCAGTACAAATTCTGCAATGAATCCTGCCATCTCTAAAATTCTATCGTCCAGCATAATTCTGGTGCAGCAACTAGTACTAGCTAATCCCTAGAAGAAGTTTAAACTATACAACTCCGCATCGACCGGATTCCCTCTCGTCCAGAGACACAAATTCTGCATTTGCGTTATAAGCAGCCATACTTTGAGTTATAGAGGTTCCTCTCAGTACCCTGGATTTGTTGTTGTCGTGTATGACTGCTTCTACTGCTTCGAGTCAGTTCAGTGTTAGCTCGTTACCCAGCAGGTAAGTCTGCAGCATGAGCAGATTTCCATTATGTTTAGCAACATGGTGATGTAATGTTGCATGCAAAGTAGTATCTAGTAGATAAGAGGTTTTCAGCACCTTTAGGAACCTACACTAGAACAAATTTTAGTAAGTCGAAATAAATTGCTCGATACGAAGTTTCGTTGAAAAGTATGTAATTGTGTCGAATTTAAGAAATAATGTAGGGAGTGGCATACCATTTTAGAATCTTTATTTCATGCGTCAACTTAGGTGAAGGTGATTTGCCACTACTGGCGCAGTACTTTGTTTTAGTACAGTCACTTAGAGTAAGATAATTTTATTAACAACAGGTTTGTCAAAAAACCACATTATTTTTGAAACTAAAGAAGTTGGCTAAGAATTTATGATTCCATAATACTGGAACACTATTCAGGATAACGTAAGCAAAAATACAGATGAAAAAATAAATAATTGTAGGTAGCAATCCTAAAACTACATGACTTACATATTTTTTTTATATTTTACTTTTAACTTATGGAACCTTGCCGATTGCTTGATGCCATGTGATCGTCGACTTCAGGCACTCTGTATACATGTGCATCCACCGCAAGCTATGCCAGCTAAGATGCCATTCATGAAAAACTGGTTAAACTATGCAAGCTAAACAAAATAATCTAGAGTTGTGAAATATAGCTATTGAAAATTGAAATAAATTTTGATCAGTAAAATAAAATTAAACAGTCACTGATTCTCTTTTTCATTTTTTAACAACATAAAGAAATGTTCCGGAAATGATAAGCCTGGATCTGGCAACCCTCGTTTCGGTTAATTTTTATGTCTTTAGCAATAACAAAACGTTGATTGCGTTCGGAACTTTATTAAGATAGTATTACAGTAAGTGCAATGTTAGAATATAAAATATGGTGTTAAGTACTTTAGACGTAGTTGAAAATCACGAGCTTTTTATTTCTTTTTTATTTGTAGCGTACTCCTTTTTGTTTCCTCGTCATCATTTTATTGTTTTGTAAATCAAGCACATTCTTCATTTCTAAACGAAAAATCTATTAGTCATGGAATCACGATAGTCATTTCAAGAAAAATGTCAAATATCGATTGAGAAAAATCATAATCAATCGTATTACTTTATTCATACATGCAGGAAATCCAGTTGTATCTAGAGCATTATTAGTAAATAATTAGGAAGTAGTTTTTAAAACAAAGTATCAATAATAATAAGCCAGTATGTTATCAGATCAGTACTTTACATATTTATGTGTTAAGTTAAATGCATACTCAACTCATAAAAAGTTGTCGCAATAATTTTGTTGTGGATTAGTAGAATGGGTTTGCTTTATTACATATATAACCTCACGCCTGTCGCCTGTTAGAATTGTCTGTCTGCCTGTTAGAGAGGTCTGATACAATTCCATCACGCTACGATTCTATCAGACCTCTTTCAATTTACTCAACAGCCCTTTATTCCTTACTTTTCCTTTATTACAAGAGTTTTATTTTGAGGGGGGAAAATCATCCAATCAACTCCCTCTCCCGCCCAGGTGAAGCGAGAGGGAGTGTCAGACTCTTACTGACTAAAAACCAACTCCTCGTTCCTACTCCTGCACTTCGAACCGGAGCCCCGGCAACCCGTTAAGTCCTCCGCGGCTCTGTATCGGCATCAACCATATTGTGCCCCATCTGTGGTGATCTAATGGGTCCTTGAGACGCGCTGGAATCGTGACACACCGTACGCTCGGGTCTGGTTCTGGGCGGACGGCGAGTTACCCTGTATGCTTCATCGTGTCCTCCGAGCGGTTCTCGCAATTATGATATCCGGGCTTGTCCTCCCACCGATTCCGAAACAGGAACCTACCAAAACTTCCATGTCCGGTAAGCTGCGTCAGGTGAAGACACCACTGCGTTTCTCAAGCCACTCTACAAAGAGGAGACTTACCGCTGCAATGACAGTGAACCGAGTTATTTTGTGAGTAAGTGAGTTTCCTGGTCAGTTCCGTAAAATCTACTCTGAGATTAGTAATTAATGTCAGAATTTAAATGACAATTAAATCGATTAACAACATTCTAATCGATTATTTACGTGTTCCGTTCACGGCGCAAATCAACACTGCACATCACTAGTATTGTTACGCCCCTTCGTCGTGTCAAAAGTGCGTTTGCGAGTTTTATCACATTTACTTTACAATATTTCGACAATTTATTTGTTATTTGCGTTTATTTAAAGTTTTACTTATTGTTCTATCATATTACAATCAATGTCAAAGTAATTTTACAGTATGTTGAATTAATCAATGCCGCAAACTTCCTGTCAAATTCACCTAATATTTTATCGATTTTGTAGGTCGGGTGTCACAAATAAATAGTTTTATCATCACCAAAGTGTTTTAAATTAGAAAAAAGTGGTGTAAAACAACCAGGATGACGGATTCAAAGTATTTTACCACGACGAAGAAGGGAGAAATATTCGAACTAAAATCGGAGTTGAACAGTGATAAAAAGGAGAAAAAGAAGGAGGCGGTCAAAAAAGTAAGTTCTAAACGACAGATATACCATTAGAAACAAACATTCAAATCTTTTTCCCTATAAATTTAATGTAAAAATAGCCAAAAAGTCATCAAATCCACCTACTGATTTGAAGCACAACTTTCATTAAACTGATGACAAATCATCTGTCAATAAGAGATCACATTTCCTAATTGGCCCAATTCTGATATCACCAGTTTAAAAAAAAAACATTAAAATAATAGCTAATAAACCTGTAACAAGAAATTGCTATTGCATAAGTCTCATTTAAATAGTTTAAAGTTCATTCTTATAAGAATGGTTCAAAGAATAAGAATTTCATTTGAGAGAATTGATTAATGTTCTTTTGATGTATATTAATAGTTCTTTTGATGTAGTTTAATATTTGACTGAATACTATATTCAGTAAAATAACTAAATCATTATTTTACCCATATATCCCCAAGCGGTCACCGGTGTCCGTTCTCCACTAACTTCATTATAGACCTTATGTCCAATGTTTAGAGACTACTTTGTATAAACGAATTAGGTGATGATTTTCAATGGGTTAACATATCTAAAACCCCAAATTCTGTAGGGTGTATAACAAAACAGCATTACTATACTCAATATTTTCTTTAAGAATAAACCACCATTAAAAACATTTCTAAGTTATGTAAAATGAGGTTAGATGCGAATAATTTTTGTTAACTTGGCTATAGTATAGCCAAAAGCAAATTTACTTAACATAACTATAAATCATTGTTCCAAATTAGTTCATTCAAAGATAAATTTACATACTACAACCAATTGATCTACAAATTACAATCTTTCACTAGGTCATAGCATCAATGACAGTTGGCAAAGATGTGTCCGCATTATTCCCCGATGTCGTGAACTGTATGCAGACCGATAACCTAGAACTCAAGAAGCTGGTCTATCTTTACCTGATGAACTATGCCAAGTCTCAACCGGATATGGCCATTATGGCCGTTAACACCTTCGTCAAGGTACGTACTGTGTAATTTATGTAGATTGTGATTGTGTGACCTGCGCATGTGGTAGGAAAATGTAGTGATAATGTTTTGGAGTGGTATACTTAACAGTCATTAGTTATTTGGTTCTTATTGTTGAAATATGATAGGTGAGTGGTTTTCTATTTTGTAAAATATTTAAGATAATAATTGAAAGACTTGAAGATAGAGCCTGTAAGCCCTACATAAGCGAGGGTGTCCATGAAGTCTATGATCATATAGCATCTATTTGATTTTTGATCCATTCGATCATCAACTTCAGGGACACCGGGTATAACTATCAATCTTATTTTGTGTATTGATGAAATTATTTTTAATTGACTTTGAATGCTTTCTAAATATGTAACTTTAGCATTAATTATTTCATTGATATTATAGACAAATGTTACCTTAGTAAATCAAAAACCGAAATTATAAAAATGTTTTACAAGTAGATATTGAATCATATTTTATATCAATCGTAAACATTAACACAGCATTTTTCGAACCACAAAACTTTAATGTGATGTTAAATTACCTATCAACAATATTCTGCATGGATTGTAAACAGTTGTGAATGTTGAACAAACTAAAATTATTTCCAGTAATATTCGAACAAATTTCAAGCATGGCAATCAATGCCCTTTTTACAAAAACTGTTATAAAACAAAACCTGTTATCTAGTATTTGTGTTAACAATAACTACTTTTTGTAGTTATTTTTTGTGTGTGACATGTATTTTTTATCGTTTTTTAATGTCAACTGTACCTTAATGATGGGTGGAAGGACCTACCAACATACCAGCTTGTTAAGGTAATCTAAATGATCCAGAAAAACCAGAATCAAATCATCTGATTGTAGATTTACACATTGCTTTTTTTAAAAACCAGAAAACTTTGTAAGAAATTTGATTTTTTTGATCATACTGTACAGTTTTGGTGAAATTTCTGTTAGACTGTGGTTTGTACATATTTGTGTAATAGTATTTTATGGATCAAAATATGTAATAAACTCCTTTCTTTAAAATAAAAGTGCTAAATTCGATTGATATTGTAAAATATGAGAAGCGATAACATTGTAAAAAGAAAATGTATAGAAAAGGAAATTTAAAAAAGTATCCAATTACTATTCTTTATTAAACCCTTTGGGTACCGTCATTATAGACACAATTAAAGAGCAATAGGTGTGCGGACACCGGTGTCCTCGCGGTGTTTGACAGTTTAATAATTTTTATCAATTTGAAAACTATGAATTACTAATTTAAAATATATAAGAATGACTAACAGAAATTTACCACTAAACAGAATTCTTTAAGCTTAGACTTTTATCCCATAAGAAAAGCACTGAATTACCCAATAACTCCACCCTGCATGCAATAGAAAAACAATTATTGCATGATTATTATACACAGTACTATTACCAATAATAATAACTATTAAAATCTTATTAAATCTTACACTTGGCACGTGAAATGTGTAAATCTACATAAAAAAATCAATAACCAGTGAAAAAAAACAATATGTATGAAAATCCATGCCTCATACCTTACTATGAATAGAAGCACATCGGCTGTATTATTTTATTATTATTATTATATTATATCCCATATATTTATTATGTTATGGAACCTATTTAGACAGGGATCTGTTTAATCTAATTTTTTTATATCTTTTGGGTCAAGTGGTCAGCTTATATAGTCATCATTAACAGCCTATAAATGCCCACTGCTAAGCAAAGCCTCTTCTCACACGGAGAAGGTTTGAGCATCAATCACCACACTTGCTCAATCATACAGACTTTTCGTGAGGAAACGTGGCCTTATAATTTCTAATCATGTTTTCCTTCACCGTGTGTCAGCTTATACAGTGAAGTACTTTAATATTGTGTTTGCCAAATCGTACTAAGAAATAAGTTAACTAAAAATCGTGGGTTACTCACGTGAAAATACTGAGAAAAGCTCTACTAGTACAGTTTAAAGTTAATGTCTTTTTCACTTCATAAAAGTTTTCTTTAGAATTAAAAGCGAGACAAATAGGCAATCTTAAGTTTTCTTTCAAGATAACATACCAACATCATGCCCTTAACCCCCAAAGGGGTAGGCAGAGGTGCACATTACGGCACTTAATGCCACTGTACAATGTAACATCCACTTTTCGCTATTAATTATGTTACGACTCCCATGGTCATGGGGTGAGTCTATTGCTATATACCGGGCACAATTCCAGACTCCATACTACCACTGAGAATTTTTTTAAAACCCAGTAGTACTTTGCCCTAACCGGAGAATCGATACCAATACCCTTTGCGACCACTCGGCCAACGAGGCAGTTTTTTCAAGATATTATTGGATAATTCAATTGTGTTTGCAAATTGGGCAATGCTCCTTAAACTCCTGTGCTTTATCGGCTGAGTATAGCCAGCGCTGATCACTTAAAATCAGGTGATCCATCTACACTATACTTTTCTATGCCATAAAGTTTAAAAAAATGTACATAATGTTTGGCGTCAACCAAGATTTTTGTTACAGTAAAAGGTCTAGTCTAAAAAGGTTCCATATACTAAACCGCTTATAGTAAAATTGCTTCAGTATAATTGATGTGTTGCTTCTCTTTTCTTTTTATACACAATACCGACACTACGGTTACACCTTCAGGACTGTGAGGACTCCAACCCACTGATCAGAGCCCTAGCAGTGCGGACCATGGGCTGTATCAGAGTGGACAAGATCACTGAGTACCTCTGTGAGCCTCTCCGCAAGTGCTTGAAAGATGAGGATCCCTATGTCAGGAAGACCGCTGCCGTATGCGTTGCTAAGTTATATGATATCTCTTCGAGCATGGTTGAAGATCAGGTGAATATAGATTTTTATTTATTGTATACTAGCTTTTACCCGCGGCTTCGCTCGCGTCACAAAAGGATAAAAAGTAGCCTATGTGACATATACCAACACACACAGCGCCATCTATATCAATACTTTTGTTTTCCCTCGGGAATATAAATTTTTTCCGTGATAAAAAGTACCCCATTATTTAATCCGGACTTCTAACTTTACGTGTGCAAAAATTCAAAGCAATCGGTTTAGTTGTTACGGCGTGAAAGCGGAACAAACAAACAAACTCACTTTCCGATTTATAATATTACTAAGGATGGCTTACTTACGTAACAATTTGACGAAGTTCCTCGATTAGTTTCAAGCCTAGATAGGGACTCATAGTCATGAGTAGCAAAGGAACAAATTGTATCGGTAACAATAATATGAGTGAACCGTAAAACATGATTAATTTGTGTTTATTATTAATTAAAATTAGTGCTTTATGCTTAAACAACCTTTTTAGTTAAGCGAATAACTAAAAAAATGACATAAACATCATCATAACATCACGCCTTTTATCCTCGAAGGGGTAGGCAGAGGTGCACATTATGCCACTGTACAATGTAACACCCACTTTTGGCTATTTATGTTACGAGTTCAATGTAATAGAGGGTGAGCCAATTGCCATATACCGGGTACAGTTCCAGACTCCGTGCGAAAGAAATCCCTTTAAAAATCTTTTAAGGGAATTTCATATAGCAAAGAAAATTTAGGAATAAAATGTTTCTTCATCTTTTAATCACCAAACAAAATGTTACATAAAACGAAGCCATCTGGTGGCGAAACGGAGTTCGCCGAGTTTGCTAGTATTAGTATATATTAAAACTAACAATATTATATTTTGGTATATCATTTCTCAGGGTTTCTTAGACCAGCTGAAGGATTTACTGAGCGACTCCAACCCCATGGTGGTAGCCAACGCGGTCGCCGCGCTGTCCGAGATCAATGAAGCCAGTGTGTCGGGACAACCCTTAGTGGGTGAGTTACGTCATATCTTCATTTCATACATAATTATGTCGTCTGTCTTCTGTCGGGGTAGAATGAAGATAGAATGCCAAATGGTACTTTTTACGTAATTTTTGCTTCTTAACCCCTCGAGCGTCCTTATGAGCACCCGGTGGATCATAAAAAAAAATGCTCCAAATGTTACGTGTGCACCCGTTCCAAATGTTACGTGTGACGCTCGACGGGTTAAAACAGCGTGTTCATAATAATAGAGTAGTCTCTTAAATTTTATTTTAATGTCCGTCTGGTACATTAATTTAAAACTTTAGTCACGTTTCACGTTTTAAGTGTGGGAGAGCCATGCTTCGGCACGAACGGGCCGGCTCGACCGGAGTGATACCACGGCCTCACAGAAACCCGACGTGAAGCAACGCTTGCGTTGTGTTTCATCGTGTGAGTGAGGTTACCGGAGGGCCCCTTCCCCAATCTCCCCAATCCCTGAATCCCCAACGATCCTCAAACTCCTAATACCCAAAAAGCCGGTGACGCACTTGTAACGCTTACTAACAGGTGATCCGTCTGCTCGTTTACCGATTTATGCCTTAAAAAACGTATTTTTTCTTTTCTCCCAAAATTAAATACTTTCGACGATATATTAATTTGAAATATCGTGTGACGTCACAGCGTGTTACATTTTGTAGCACGTTATGACGTAATAACCTCCCACTCCTAAACTTAGCGCTGTAATTAATATTTTATTTAAGTATTGCAACTTAATACGAGAAAATAAAAAATACGTGTCTAATATTTTTACATTACCTAACTGACGGACTAATTAGATTTTTAATTTTGGTACCTTGGAAACTACCCAATTATAATAGTTACAGCAGTGGTCAAAACTGCATTACCAGTCTCAAAAATCTATTGCATAACAATATTACTGGTATGTATCTAAAGATATATGCCCCTAAAGTTCGTATTATGGCATAATGCAGACTATGACATAATGGCCTTGCCCTATCCTGCAAATTGTAGTTTGAAATATTGTATGCAGAACTATTTTCCACGACCTTACTTTATTTTTATAATAACTATCGTAAGACATCTTAAATCAACTAAAATCGCGGGGTACTCACGTGAATACACTGAGAAAAGCTCTACTAGTTTCGAACCACTCGCCTGAGGAAGAACCCTTCTGAGGTTCGAAACGAGTGGAGCTTTTCTCAGTATATTCACGTAAGTAATCCACGATTTTAGTTGACCTTACTTTACCTTACGTATTGAGGCCTTAATACCAGTTTGTTTTATGTATAAAGTAATCTAACGAGACTGCGTTCGGCGCCCTGATTGAATAGTTCATCTTAGCCGGCCAATCAGATTGCCAAAAACGTACTCGTTTCGAGTACTTTAAACATAAACAAACTGCCTCATTGGCCGAGTGGTCGCTAGTGCGACTGCCGGCCAAGGGGTCTCGGGTTCGATTCCCAGGTTGGGCAAAGTATTATTGAGTTTGTAAAAACCTCAGTTAGTAGCACGGAGTCTGGAGATGTGCCCGGTATATGGCAATAAACTCACCCCCTATTACATGGGACTCATAACATAAATAGTGAAAAGTGGGTGTTACATTGTACAGTGGCAATCAAGTGCCGTATTATGCACCTCTGCCTATCCCTTCGGGGATAAAAGGCGTGATGTCATTTTACCTATGTGATGTTTTTATAAACAAACTCGTACTCAAGGCTTCTGAATTCGGTAACCAAAATTTTACCTCAAAATTCAATTTGCACGCAGTTTGATCTATCTCGTTTACTATTAAATTTAAAGTTGAACTTATACGTGAGATGATTTTTTGTAAGCTACCAATAGAGTAACCTATGGAGTTTCTTGCTCGTTCTTCTCCATAAGAATCTACACTTTGGAACGAGCAAATAGCTTCACTAGAGGACTGACCTACAGGCTGACATTGTTTTTAATATTTAAATATTTTGTTTTGACTTTTAAAAGTGTCGCTTACTCTTGAAACCAATCTCAATGTCAATGCAATTTCAATCCAATAAAATCTCAATAATTATTCAATGTCAACACTATAACAACCCCTATAGTAGCTGTTAAAATAGCATTCAGTACGGAATATAAAGACAAACTCAATACCATTTAGTTCATTTAATATCCACGCAATACGGATGCAATGGGCGCTAGTGTTCCGACTCAAGAGTACGAAATTTCACAATACCAATGTCGATCGATCGTAATTGGATTCAAGAGTAAGCCTGCTGGTCTAATTGAAATAAATGATTTTGACTTTGACTTTACCGAGTGTCTGTAAATGTCATTAAATCTAAACATAGGTTATTGTCTTGTTAATAAAAACTAACCAATTATGTAAAGCCACACCTGGCTCCCTTCCAAAACGTGGTACCATTATAGTAAGATGCCAAAATAAATTCCATTCATCACTTAAATAATTTTCTATTTTCGTTTTACTGAAAAATATTTTGTTATGATGGCTTCGCCGTGCTAAAGGTTGAAATTGATTTTTAGTTTAGTCATATACTTAATAAGAATCTCTTTAAAATGTATATTCACCTAAACAATTAACTATAGCAAATCAGTTATATCTACAAAAAACAGCAATTGAGGTTAATCTTAAAATTTAGATAGTTCTTCATAAATACATGAAATCACAGTTGTGGGTACAGTTCTTACGTACTTTTATAGTAAATCAATAAAAAAATAAAGGCACTAAAGAAGCAGGTTTAATTATACATATCGACCACTAGCGACCCGCCCCGGCTTCGAACGGGTGCAATATGCATGTATTATACATATAAACCTACCTTTACCTTACTCTATCTATTAAAATAAACCGCATCAAAATCCGTTGCGTAGTTTTAAAGATCTAAGCATACATAGGGACAGACAGGCGGCAGATAGTGACTTTGATTTACACTATGTAGTGATTCTCTAGTCACTCAACTTTCTCCTCTTCTCCGAATACCTCCGAATAACTCAGCTCGTAACGTCGGCTCCGGCTCGACGTGCAGGAGAAGGAACGGGGTGGTTTTTGGTCAGTAAGAGTCTGACACTCCCTCCCGCCTCACCCAGGCGGGAGCAGTCATTCGATGATTTTCCCCCCTTAAAAAAAATAAATAAATAAAAAAAGTCACTCAACTTTGGTTTCAGAAAATAAGGATTGAACAATTTATTTTTCTCATATCCTCTAACCCATCTACATAAAGTAACCAAAGTTCATACAAAAGTAGTCTTTAAACATTGGAAATAAGGTCCTATCTATTTATATTTCTATAACATTAATTCAATATCATTTTCTTTTAACAGAGATGAATGCCCCGACAATAAACAAGTTGCTGACGGCCCTGAACGAGTGCACGGAGTGGGGCCAGGTGTTCATACTGGACGCCCTGTCCAACTACTCCCCGCGGGACGCCAGGGAGGCGCACTCCATCTGTGAGAGGATCACGCCCCGGCTGGCACATGCTAACGCCGCTGTTGTATTGTCTGCCGTTAAGGTAAGAATTTGTGTAATTCTCAAAGAAATTTGGGGTGAAGTCTAAGCTTGGTCAGAACACCATTGAACCAAGGTACATGATATGCCTTACAATCTAACGCCATGTACAACAAAACTATACATAAATAGTTTGACTGTTGGATCTTCTATTGTTTTAATCATCATCATAACATCAAGCTTTTTATCCTCGAAGGGGTAGGCAGAGGTGCACATTATGCCACTGTATAATGTAACACCCACTTTTCACTATTTATGTTATGAGTCCCATTCCCATGTAATAGGGGGTGAGTCTATTGCCATATACCGGGCACAATTTCAGACTCCGTGCTTCTATTGAGATTTTTTTTAAATCTCAGTAATTCTTTGTCCGACCTGGGAATCGAACCCGAAACCCTTCGCCAGTCGTAATTGCGACCACTCGGCCAATGAGGCAGTCTGTTTTAAATTACTATTTATTATGATAATGGTTCAAATAAATATTTAAATATGTACATTATTACGTGTAGTTGAGCAAATACATCACAAACTAAGTACCCAATGTCTCATAATCCTAGGTCCTAATGAAGTTGATGGAGATGGTGTCGGACGACACGGAGCTGGTGAGTACGCTGTCCCGCAAGTTGGCGCCGCCGCTGGTGACGCTGCTGAGCGCGGAGCCAGAGGTGCAGTACGTCGCGCTCAGGAACATCAACCTCGTCGTACAGAAGCGACCTGATATTCTGAAGCATGAGATGAAGGTAACTAAAATAAAATAAATAATCATTTTTTAACTCTTAATTTAAACTGTTAACAGTAATTGACGTTTTATGTTTCGCATTGTCAAAAAACCTATAGAAGAGAGGAAGAGAGACATTAGAGAAAACTTGGCACATTTTTTACAAATAGACAGATAAATGCTGAACAACTCCTTACCAAAAGTAACAAAGGAATAAAAAAAACAATACAATTATTTTATTTTTTATTTATATATGCTTTATTGTACACATATAAGTAGCTCAAAAACAAGCTATTCAAGTAAATATGCGTACAATGGGCGGTCTTATCACACAATGGTGATTTCTTCCAGACTACCTTTGGATGGAATTGTTTATAAGAAACCAGATAAGGGGTACTTAAGTGTACAATAAAAAAAGACAAAATAAAAATACCTACAATATATATAATATACTAGCAATATATAAAAAAGAAATACATAAATAATATATAAAAATAATATATATTTAATTAATTTCTTAGGTATTCTTCGTGAAATACAACGATCCGATCTACGTGAAGCTGGAGAAGTTGGACATAATGATCCGCCTAGCGTCGCAGGCCAACATCGCGCAAGTACTGGGCGAGCTCAAGGAGTACGCCACCGAGGTGGATGTAGACTTCGTCAGGAAGGCTGTCAGGGCCATCGGACGCTGTGCTATTAAGGTTAGAAGACAGATTTATATGGTAAAATGAAGTGAATAGGGATCGAGATGTGAATAGAGACAGAAGAGGGGTGAATTGATGCTATGAAAAATTTCCCAATTCACCCCTCTTTCCCATTTTACTGTAGCTTTTATGTACAGATACAGACGCCAGCAGGTCAACCTACTACACTCTGTCTGATTTTATTGAGTTTTTGACTTTATGGCAAAGCAATAAAGTTGAAAATCTTATGAATACACAAAAGAAAAAATTGACCTGCTATGTTTTTTATCTGTACTACATTTACCTCAGATGTTAATACGTTAATGTATCGTACCGAAAATCCCCTTAATTTGTTCATACAAAAGTAGTATTTATACATCCGAAATACGGTTGATAATGGAATTAATGGAGAGTGGTCATTATTATATTGTACATACTGTATTATTTATTATTTAAGTCATTGTAAGTGCGCGCGACTGACAGGTCGCGATCGTATTTTTTAGGTGTACAAAAATGTGTTTTTTTTTATGGCTTATCCAGTAAACGAGCAGACGGATCACCTGATGGTAAGCAATCGGCGTCGCCCATGGACACCTGGAACACCAGAGGCGTTACAAGTGCGTTACCGACCTTTTCGGATTAGGAATTCGAAGATTGTTGGGTATTCAGTGAATGGGAATTGGGCCTCCGGTAATCTTACTTACACGTTAAAAGACAACGCTGTGGTTGAGTCACTATGGTATTCTGGTCGTTAGTGGTATCACTCCAGTCGAGCCGGGCCAGCACGGCTGAAGTATGGCTCTCCCACACTTGATTTTAGAAAATCGTTTTCTTTTTTGCTTAGAGAAGTTTGTTCAAAAAACGTATCAAACTAATGAAAGCACATATTTCTTAATGAGACATCTAATAACAAACGATTGATGACTGTTAATGAAGCGAAAGAGGTATGTAACAATCGTAGTAATTGGCGTTCCATAGTCCCTGTCTACATGGGAGACAGGCGTAAAGTTATGTATGTATGTATGGACACTTAATAACAAAAAATCTTTAATCCCCAGGTGGAACCATCAGCCGAGCGTTGCGTCTCCACTCTCCTGGAGCTGATCCAGACCAAAGTCAACTACGTGGTGCAGGAAGCCATCGTGGTCATCAAGGATATCTTCAGGAAGTACCCCAACAAGTACGAGAGCATCATCAGCACTCTGTGCGAGAACCTGGACACGCTGGACGAGCCTGAGGCCAGGGCTTCCATGGTTAGCTACTTTTAAATGTTGGGATATGATATATTTTTTTAGTACAAGTTAAGCTTCTCAGAGAGAGAAAGACCTTAATAATATGTTTTTCCACTTTCTTATAGGTCTGGATTGTGGGTGAATATGCTGAGCGTATCGACAATGCTGATGAGTTGCTCGACTCCTTCCTCGAAGGATTCCACGATGAGAATGCACAGGTATGTACAGAACATAATTATGTGTAATATATAATAATCTATATAAAAAGGAATCCCTATATGCCATAGTCACGCCATCACGCGTTAACATATGGATCGATTTCACTTTGATTGTGTTCTGTTTTTTAAAAAGAAGGTTCTTATTAAAGAAAAAAAATAAAAATATGTTAAAAAAGGCTATACAGGGCTAGATGGGATGGTATGGTCTGGGGTAACACATAGGCTACTCTTTACTAAGCTAATTATATAAAAAAAATTGTACCCTCAATGGTTTCATTTTTGCTGCCTCGTTGGCCGAGTGGTCGTAAGTGGCGACTGTCGGGCAAGGGGTCTCGGGTTCGATTCCCAGGTCGGGCAAAGTATTACTGGGTTTTTAAAAAATTCTCAGTAGTAGCACGGAGTCTGGAACTGTGCCCGGTATATGGCAAAAGGTTCACCCCCTATTACATGGGACTCATAACATAAACAGTGTAAAGTGGGTGTTACATTGTACAGTGGTATAATGTGCACCTCTGCCTACCCCTTCGGGGATAAAAGGCGTGATGTTATGTTTTGATTTCATTTTTAATAATAATTTAAGATTCTGTCACAAGAGTAGTTTAACTTTTAAGTATTTCTTAGAAGAGCACTGTTTAGATTTATATCAATAGGTGAGGCTCACCTCCTATTACATGGGACTCTTAACATAAATAGTGAAAAGTGGGTGTTACATTGTACAGTGGCATTCAGTGCCGTAATGTGCACCACTATCTACCCCTTCGGGGATAAAAGGCGTTATGTTATGTACTAATATATGCTGTTCTCGTTTCCAGGTCCAGCTGCAGTTGCTGACGGCGGTGGTGAAGTTGTTCCTGAAGCGTCCAGCAGACACACAGGAACTAGTGCAACATGTACTCAGTCTTGCTACACAGGACTCTGATAACCCGGACTTGAGGTGAGAATGATTTTGTGATAATCAATAAATAATACTTTGCCCGACCCGGTAATCAAACCCGACGCGACTTGTATGGGTTGTTGCGCATACAGGCACTTGTTCAACGTTGCTCTCAACAACTTAATGAAACATTTTAATCCTGAGGATATTTTCGAACTAAGAAAGAAATAAATGAAAAGGCATGATGCTTCAAATACACAAACATAAAATAATAAAAAACAACAGCCTATAAATGCCCACTGCTAAGCAAAGCCTCTTCTCACACTGAGAAGGTTTGAGCATTAATCACTATGCTTGCTCATTGCGTGTTGGCGATTTCAAATTTACAATTAGTAATTATAAATCCGGGTTTCCTCACGATGTTTTCCTTCACCGTATGTCCGTGGTATCTAAATAATCTTAGAGAGTACATATAACTCGGAAATAGTCACATTGATACTTGCCGTTGGTAGGTTTCGAACCAGCACCCAGATGCATGAGAAGCGGGTGCCTTAACCTCCGGGCTACCACAACTAACGGTTGATGACAAGCAAAACTTCGCTTAATTCGAGTCTACAACACGTCAAACTTTTTCAACACACATAACATAACATCACGCCTTTTATCCCCGAAGGGGTAGGCAGAGGTGCACATTATGCCACTGTACAATGTAACACCCACTTTTCACAATTTATGTTATGAGTCCCATGTAATAGGTGGTGAACCTATTGCCATATACCGGGCACAATTCTAGACACCGTGCTACTACTGAGAATTTTTAAAAACCCCAGTAATACTTTGCCCGACCCGGGAATCGAACCCGAGACCCCTTGCCCGGCAGTCGCACTTGCGACCACTCGGCCAACGAGGCAGCCTCAAAACTTTTTCAATTTGTATCTTATTTAATTTTATTTACCTTGCAGGGACCGCGGCTTTATCTACTGGCGTCTCCTGTCAACGGACCCGGCGGCCGCCAAGGAAGTGGTCCTCGCTGATAAACCTCTCATCTCCGAGGAGACAGACCTACTGGAGCCCACGCTACTGGACGAGCTCATCTGTCATATTAGCTCACTTGCGTCAGTGTACCATAAGCCACCTACAGCTTTTGTTGAAGGTACGTCAAGAAGGAATTGTGAATTAACAGGTTTTAAGCTGATAGAAATGATTGGAGTCAGCTAACAAGCTCTGGAAGTCATTGGGGCAGACCTATGTTAGTCGGTGGACTTTTTTATGGGATAAGCCGGTATACGAGCAGACGGATCACCTGATGGTAAGCAATCGGCGTCGCCCATGGATATCTGGAACACCAGAGGCGTTACAAGTGCGTTGCCGGCCTTTTGGATAATAGGAATTTGAAGATTGTTGGGGATTTGGGGAGATTGGGGAAGGGGTGAGTAAGGGTAATAGTGTAGATGACTAATTTTTATTTTAATGTCCGTCTGGTAGATTATTTTAATTCATTAGACACGTATTTTTTATTTTCTTACAGAAACGACTACTTTTGACGATGTATTGATTTGAAATGTCGTGTGACGTCACTTCTATGTACATTTTATGCGTAGAAATGACGTTTTAGCCCCCACTCCACTCTACACTCTTAAACTTTGATTTGTTATATCTAAGTATCATTTTATTATACAATTATACAAAAATTATAATGAAATATTGTGTGTATGTGTCCAGGTCGTGGTGCAGGTGTCCGTAAGTCCCTCCCGGCGCGCGGCGGGTCCTCCACCCACGAGGAGCCCGCGCCACCTACTGTCATACCTAACCAACTACATGGCGTGAGTCTGAATACTACATATTATTATTTTAATTATTAGAACTTTAGGGATCGTGGTTAGGAGAATCCCTAATTGAGCACTGTCTCTTCTGGTCTTGGGGTGCAGGGGGTTAAGAGAAACAACGGTGTTCAGATACCGGATATATTCACGTAAACCCCCAGATAGAACCGTTCACTCGGACCAGTGCGCAGTAACTGTCCGTGCCTCGCATACTTCACGCTCACACAAGTTTTTGCTTGCCTTGCACTCTGCCTTATAAGAGTTGTTTACATCAATTTGAGGACTTGTTGGAGCTATTTTTTACCTAACTTCAAGGAGAGGAGGTATTCTGAGTTTAACCCATATATCCCAAAGCGGTCACCGCTCTCCACAAACTACATTATACACCTTATTTCCAATGTTTAGAGACTATTTTTGTATGAACCAATTCAGGGGATGATTTTCAACGGGTAAAACATACCGATTTACATTATACAAATCTTGTTGTAAGGATTTTTATTATTAGGTATCAGGGACATAGGAAAATAGTTCTTATCCAACACTTTATATGATACACAATAGAAAACACATTGTGTCTCACGTAGACATGCGGTCCGAAATACGACTTGATAATCATCCTGTTGTAAAATATAGTTTTTATGGCATAAGCCGGTAAACGAGCAGACGGATCACCTGATGGTAAGCAATCGGCGTCGCCCAATGACACCTGGAACACCAGAGGCGTTACAAGTGCGTTACCGGCCTTTTGGGCATTAGGAGTTTGAGGATCATTGGGGATTCAGGAATTGGGGAGATTGGGGCAGGGGAGGGTAATTGGGCCTCCGGTAACCTCACTCACACCACGAAACACAACGCAAGCGTCGCTTCACGTCGGTTTTCTGTGAGGCCGTGGTATCACTCCGGTCGAGCCGGCCCATTCGTGCCGAAGCATGGCTCTCCCACATTTAATTATCCTTGTCTAAAGATTAAAGTTCATTATTTCAGGAGTCTCTCATCGGCGACTTGCTCTCCATGGACATCGGTGGCCCTCCCCCCGCACCCGCTCCTACCTCCAACCTGGATTTACTAGCTGGTGGCCTGGACGTACTTGTAAGTAATGTTTCTAATTAACTTTATTTGTTAACTAGCTATTTCCGCGCGGTTTCACACGCTCTGCTCAGCTCCTATTGGTCGTAGCGTAATGTTTTATAGCCTATAACCTTCCTCGATAAATGCGCTATCTAACACAAAAAGAATTGTTCAAATCACACTTGTAGTTCCGAAGATTAACGCGTTCATACAAACAAAACAAAACAAACTCTGCCGCTTTGTATAATAGTATAGATTCCATTTTTTTAATATCACTACATAGCATAAAATAAAGTCGCTATCCTCCGTCTGTCTGTCCCTATGTATGCTTATATCTTTAAAACTACGCAACGGATTTTGATGCGGTTTTTTTTTAAATAGATGTAGTGATTCTTAAGGAAGGGTTTTTTAGATATAATACAAACCCTCTTTCCAACTCCTGAATACTGGCTCCATCCAAAGGTTGTCTGGAAGAAATCGCATTCTGCGATAAGACCGCCCATTGTGCACATTCTTTTATGTTTGTTTTTTTTTATGTATGTTTTTATGGTGTACAATAAAGTGTAAATAAATAAAAATACAAGCATATTGCACCCGTGCGAATCCTTACTTCCTTACTAATATTTAAATTGGAAAGTGTGTTTGTTTATTTGTTTGTTTGTTCCGCTTTCACGCCGTAACTACTGAACCGATTGCTTTGAATTTTTGCAGACGTAAAGTTAGAAGTCCGGATTCAATAATAGGGTACTTTTTATCCCGGAAAAATTTGCTATTCCCGAGGGAAAACAAAAGTATTGGTATAGATGGCGCTGAAGTGCTGAACTGGAAACAAAATACAAGTTTATTTATTTAGAAAACCAACAGCGATACATATGATATGATACAAAATAAAGATATTACAGTTTAGTAAGGCTAATAATAGGTTTCCCTGCTTAAGATACAAATTGAAAAAGTTTTGAGGCTGCCTCGTTGGCCGAGTCGTCGCAAATGCGACTGCCGGGCAAGGGGTCTCGGGTTCGATTCCCGGGTCGGGCAAAGTATTACTTGGTTTTAAAAAAATTCTCAGTAGTACCACGGAGTCTGAAATTGGGCCCGGTATATGGCAATAGGCTCACCTCACAGACTCATAACGTAAATAGTGGGTGTTTCATTGTACAGTGGTATAATGTGCACCACTGCCTACCCCTTCGGGGATAAAAGGCGTTATGTTATGTTATAATATTGAATTAAAATAAAATATATTACAGTTGGGTGGAGGTCCGGAGCCAGGTCCAACGTCAGGCACTACGGGTCTGCTGGGCGATATATTCGGAGTCACCACCGCGCCCGCCTCGTACGTGCCGCCCAAACAATGCTGGCTGCCTGCTGACAAGGGAAAAGGTAGAATATTGTCATTTATTTAGGATTGATTTTAGTAGTTAAGTCTAGACTGTCTGATGTATTTATTATTATTAGGTATTGGGGACCGTTCAAGTATTACGTAAGCACCATGGGGGGGTGGGGGGTCTCTGTTTTGCTTATTTCGGATGATATGGGGGGTAGAGGAGTCTAGATTATGATTACGTCATCGGTAGTTATTTACTTTTTTACACGAATGGCAACCCTCATATTGAAATTATAAAGTCGACTTAAAGACCGACAAAGTACGAGACATTATGGTATTTGGTATGGTATAGAATTACAATATAAAAAAGATTAATTTAAAATGTTTACGTAAGCAAAGGGGGAGGGGGTAAGATCTTTGCTTACTTTTGCTGACAAGGGGGGTGAGGGGGGGGGTAAATAACGGCCCCTTGGACAATAAATTCACTCACCTCCTATTACATGGCACTCAACTTGTTACAGGTCTAGAAATCTGGGGTACATTCAGTCGTCAGAACGGTCAGCCTCGCATGGAGATGACGTTCACCAACAAGGCCATGCAGGCCATGAGCGGGTTCGCCATACAGCTTAACAAGAACAGGTCAGTAATGTAACTACGCGGCTTCGTGACTAAACCAGCATATTATGTCAAATTAAGAATTTGACGATTCTTTGGGATCCAGGCAAGGGGAGGGTAATTGGGCCTCCAGTAACCTCACTCACACGACGAAACACAATGCAAGCGTTGTTTCACTATGGTTTACTTGTCGGCCGGCTTCTCGCGGTATCACTCCGGTCGAACTGGTCTATTCGTACTGAAGCATGGCTCTCCCATACTTGACTTTGATTTGTCAGTTGAAATGCCCCTTTTTTTCTATCGCGATGGAAATCCTCATGGACTTCCCGCGTCGTGGGGACGACGAGGGGGCGTGCCGGACTCTTACCAGCTAAAACCACCGTGGTGTTCCTTCACTGCCTGTGACCGTGACCCGGGTTGCCCTTACGGAATCACCACACCAGTTTTAAATGCCCTAAATTATTATAATCTGTCTACCATAGTGATTTGAGATGATAGAATCTATTCTGAGTTAATAAACTTGATAAGAATTAACAACTGCATAAGATTTGTTTTTAATTTTATCTTAATTATACTATTCCAGTTTCGGCGTGTTCCCGTCGGGCGGTCTGAGTGTCGGCGCTGTCCCGGCCGGGGCGGCGGCCGACGCCCCGCTGGCACTCGCCACCACCGGACCCGTGCAGAGGATGGAACCACTTAATAATCTACAGGTAACTTTGCGTTACTTTTGAATGATTATATGAGTGTAGTCTATTGTAATATGTCGATAATACACCATTTATGAGAATGGTTATAGCTGGTGGCTTCTATGGAATGGTCACATTTAGTTTAATAATCGCTTTATTATAAGCTAGCGTGTCTGATCATTCTATAATCGAATAATGCTTAAAATTACGACATGAATTTTATATCTTAGCTTAACATGTCTTAGCTTAACTTAACGTTATATGGGTTAATAGTAATAATTACTGTTAGATAAGCGAACACTGCAATTCTGAAAATTTTAAAGCAGCATATTTTTTTAAACACACTAGGAGTTTTTCTTGTGTTGTGGGTGCGTTTACAAACATACAAGTTCGCACACACATGACACCCAGACCCGGAACAACAATTTGTGGATCACACAAATAATTGTTCCGTGCGGGGATCGAATCAGATCGTTGCCCAGCCACTGCGCCACCGTGCAGTCGAATATTACAGTTAGATAGGCAAAATTGCAACCACAACGACTAGAAAATCTTTTTCACCATTCAACAAAAACTAATCCATCACAATTTCCTCGCAGGTCGCAATCAAAAACAACGTAGACGTGTTCTACTTCGCGTGCCTCATTCCCGTCCACATACTGTTCACTGAGGACGGACAGCTTGACAAACGAGTATTTTTAACGACATGGAAAGAGATCCCCGCCGCTAACGAGGTCCAGCACACACTATCCAACGTCACAGGCAACGCAGACTCTATCGCTCAGAAAATGACGCTGAACAACATATTTACTATCGCCAAAAGAAACGTGGAAGGCCAGGATATGCTCTACCAGTCTCTAAAACTCACTAATAATATTTGGGTACTCCTAGAGTTGAAACTTCAACCTGGTAACCCAGAAGCGACGCTCAGTTTGAAGTCCAGGACTGTGGAAGTCGCGTCCTGCATATTCCAAGCTTACGAAGCTATCATTAAGTCATAATCTCATTTTTTGAAGAGGTAATTGTATTTAACTGGTGTTCCGACAGCGTATTTTGTCTAAAATATCGATATTGTTATGAAATTTAGTATATTTGTAAGATATGTAGCTAATATGCTCATGTCTGTCCAGTAAGAGCGAATGCGCTGTCTCTAATGAGGCCAGTTTCTACTTGGAAAGCTTGCTTTGGTAAATAAAGACCTCAATCTCACTAAAAATGGCACGAAATAAGCTCAATATAAATACTTAAATAGCAATAATGAAGTTATATGTCATGCAAGTAGACTTTGTCAAATAATATTGATTCGATTTTAGACTGTATTATAAAAATATAAAGTTGAAAGTCGATCAAAGCAGTTGACCTGCTTACGTAAACAGATTGGGGTCTAAACCAAAGCAAGCTATGTATCTCGACCTATATGTATATGTTGGTATAAGAATGTTAATGAAAAGTATTCCTATGTAAGTTATAAAGACTTGTAAATTCCAATATAGATTGTATGAATGTTAGTTGCGCGATCATTTACATTTAATGACGGTTTTCACGCCACTGGCGGCGCTAGTGTAGCTGGCCCAATGGAATATTTGCTAATGAATCTTTGGTCAGTTCAACTTATCGACAGCGACGCTGATTGGACTAATGGGGGCTTAGGGGCTAACGATACTAGCGCCACTACTTGAGCTTTAAACGAAAACTCTCATTTTTAAATTGCTCCCATATTAAATCATTATGCAGCTGTATTACAATCTGGTTATTAATGAAATTAAAAACTAGAATCAAATGAAATGTTATTTTAATTCGAAGTTAAGAGATTAAATTGATGAAATTATGGTTTTTTTAATGTTTGTTACTCGACTGTCTAGTAACAGGAGTAAATTAACTAAAATTAATAATATATTATGATTATTAGCGCGCGCTGTTTGGTAACAAACACCCTGTATGTAAGACGTTACTGTAATAAATTTATGTTATACTTATTGACAACTTTGTTTTATTCCTTACTTCCTATACTTCAGCTACGGAGAACCTAACGGGTTACCGGGGCTCCGGCTCGACGTGCAGGAGAAGGAACGGGGTGGTTTTTAGTCAGTAAGAGTCTGACACTCTCTCCGCCTCACCCAGTCTCGAGCAGTCATTCGATGATTTTCCCCACTTAAAAAAAAATACTTCAGCTAATCCTTCAGACGTTCAAGAAAAGAGCGTATTCCTTTTTAAAACGCCAGCAACGCACCTGTGCCTGCCCTGGTGTTGCAGGTGTCCATGGGCGGCGCTGATCGCTTACCATCAGGTGATCCGTCTGCTCGTTTGCCAAATATTCCATAAAAAAAATCAAGATCCAGAAATGTCCTACAAGTGAATGCACATACAGCCCCTGATTAAAGAGAAAATAATAATAATATTTTCATTTTATCAATCTATACAAATCTTGCAATATATCGAAAACTAAAGCTAGATTAGCAAAAATAACAAATCTTCGTAACCCTATAGATACTCCAGTAAAGGCATGTTTTGCTATTTGAGGAAGCGGGTGAAAATGACCTTGGGTAAACTGAATCCATTTACAAAACTTAAACATAAGTTTACAAAAATACACTATTTATTCCAAGGTACTCGGACTTCATGACGTAGATACCTAATAAGAGGGGTAACAAAAGTACTCCTGTGTCCTCTAGATGGCGTAGAGTTCGTCCACTGAAGTTCTCCATCGCGACCTGCCTTGAGCTTCACGCTTCACCTCAAATCAACGGCCTATAATGCCTATTGCTGAGCAAAGCCTCTTCTCACACGGAAAAGGTTTGAGCATTAATCACCACGCTTGCTCGATGCGTGTTAAACTTATAATTAGAAATTATAAGTCCAGGTTTCCTCACGATGTTTTCCTTCACCGTTTGTCAGTGGTATCTCAGTAATCTTAGAAAGTACATATAACTCGGAAAAAGGCACATTGGTACTTGCCGTTGGTAGGCCAACGCACTCTCATGCACGAGAAGCGGGCGTCTTAAACCTCAGGCCAACACGATTCACCTCGCTCCATGTCATAATAGGTCTCTTTACCTGTGAAATTACCGTTTTGTACGGAAAAATTTAAACGATCTTTTACAACACAACATGACGCCTTTTATTCCCGAAGGGAAAGGCAGAGGTGCACAATACAGCACTTAATGCCATTGCATAATGTAACACCCTCTTTTTACTACTTATGTTGGAGTCTCATATAGTTAATAGAGGGCGAGCCTATTACCAATTTACCATATACCTAGTGGACACAATTCCAGACTCCGTGCTACTACTGAGATTTTTTTTAAAATTTATATTTTTAATCGCAGGTAACAATACGATTCAAAATTCCTTCATTTGTGTGTCTGTTGAGCAGTGCAAGACGCGTCTCGACGCGCACTTCCCGCAGACGATCATTAACTTAGTGGGTGTATTCCTGGCGTCACATCGGGCTCACCACTATACGTGGCCCGCGAGCGCTGCTATCGGCGGTCGTTCTTTCACTCGCTCGCTCGACACGACACACGTGCGCACATATCGGCTGACTACAATCAGTACCTATCAAAAACAGTCTTTTCTCAACATACCGAAGTCATTTATTAGTCAAGACCACTAGTAATAACACACTTGGAGCTTGATATTCAAACAGGGTGTCTAGTCAGTAGTGTAGTCGCCCCGGGTGTCACCCGTTTAGGGGTGACACCCGAGACCTACTGTGACAACCAGTTATAGTATACCTAGTGTGATTCAGTCGTTGTAATTCATCCGTAGATTGTGTATCATCAGCTTCCACAGTCGACCTTAATTCGTCATTCTCGAGTTCTCGACCAGTCTTCGGCCGACCACGAGGTTCATTTTTCAGTTCGAAATTTCCAGAACGGAAGCGAGCAAACCAATAGCAGGCGTTGCGTTGGTTTGTAGTGTTAGCACCGTAAACGTCATTGATGTTGCTATTGCGTGCCGCTTGTACCGCGATGCTGCCATAACAGTACTTATGTTCCATAATTACTGGAATTTTTAACGTCTCCATGATGCCAAAAACATTGAAATGCGATGAAAATGTAACACTTGATTGGTGTAACATTTTCATTACATTTTATGAACATTATGAATACTTACGGAAAAAGTCATGGTTTTAAATAAAACTAATTTGAAATTAGAATTTTTAGTCAAACAAAAACTATAATGACCACGACCAGCACTGCAGAACGGTAATTTCATAGGTCAATACCCACAGACCTTTTTTTAAGGGGGAAAATCATCCAATGACTTCTCCCGCCCGGAATACCCACAACCTAATAGGTCGTCGCTCTCGCTCCCGCCAGTACGGTGCGGTGCGACGCCAGGTTTATCGAGGACGGCCACGCTTCCTTTTCCCTTGAAGATTTCAGTCCAAGGCTTGCTTGCGTATGTGGTCGGGACCCCTTAGCGTGTGGTCCACTTGTGGCGCTTGATCTGACGGCCTATTAGGCTTTCGTGGCATTTCTCCCAAAGCTTTACGTTGGAGATGGTCTCGGGCCAGTGAATTCTTAGAATGCGACCCTGGTTACCTACCACTTTCCCTATACTTATTATACTCTTTGCCTTCCAAGTTTCGTATTCATAGAGCAGGACTGATGAGCCGCGGAGAACTGATGAGTCGCGGAGAACCTAACGGGTTACCGGGGCTCCGGCTCGAAGTGCATGCGTAGGAACGGGGTGGTTTTTAGTCAGAAAGAGTCTGACACTTCCTCCCGCCTCACCCAGGCGGTAGAAGTAATTCGATGATTTTCTTCCCCCTTAAAAAAAAGAGCACAACTGATTTTAGATTGGATTTTCAGCTTAATCCTTCGGGTCAGTTTTCGAGTCTGCCACACAGGTCTTAGCTGCGCGAAAGTAGCTCGGGCTTTGGCGATCCTTGAAGTGATGTGCTCTTCAGTACCTCCAGTCTCTGGCACTTTTGGTACACCTCTTTCTATGTGATGAATTGAAACTGATCGATTGTTAAACGGAGAAGTAAATGAGTAACGAATGTTTTTATCGGTTTGTGTGACCCAAATTTTTCTTTTATGCCATCGTAGTAGTTTTCTTTGTCCAGCAGTCAGTTAGGGGTTAAATGAACTTAAATAAAAGACTTCATTAATTAAAAACATAGTTTAATATAACTTCTCAAGTTCTCTTTTTTAATTTATACACATCATGGTCCAGACCTTTAAAGCATCTATTTACAACTGACAAAAATATTTCGAAAACTTCTGCTTACATTTAAACAACGCAACATGCATTCTTTTAAATTTCTTTAACAAAGTATATAAATTGAACTTAAAATGAAACTTTTAACAAGAACGAATTATAAAAAATACAGAGATTCCAAAATAAAAGAGAAACATAATAAGGACTTTATTCGTTCATAAAAACATCATGTTTCGATAAAGACGAAAGTCAAAATAATAATAGATCAGAAATAGAGAATATTTATCTATAGTCGTAACGTATATTTATGGAACTCTGTATCATATAAACTTTATTCAAATATTGTCAATAGTTCATATAAAATTGTAAAACGACAAAATTTGTAATACCTAACTATGATAATGTATCTGATAGATGAAAGGAGGAACATTAGTCTATTTTGACGAGAAACTCTTCAACTTCTAACTTCTGCCTCATAATGGCGGATAGCACTACTTCAGTACTGCAGACAACGTTTAGAGTTTTTTCAGATTGAAGGAGATAGTAAACTAGATGTAGGTCGTTGGGTACTGTAAGGACTAAGTAGCTGTATTTCTTCTGATTATGCATTTCTTGTATGGAGACGTATGACCGGCGATTTTTCTCGACTTTCCCGCCGCAAAGTTCTATCATTTCTGTGAGAGCACCGCGGGACGGTTTGACGCAAGGTGTAAGGAAGAAGGTGACGCCTTCGAAGAGTTTCTTCCTCATTTCCCCGCAGAGTAATACTTCTGATACATCACACTTGAACATTTTGTTGAAGGCCTCGTCTCTAAGGCCGTGTTTCGCTTCGTCTGCGAACTTGTTCAGTCTCTGACTCTCTAGGATCCACTCCGGCGTGAGTAAGTGTTTGACAGTGACGAGGCTACTGATCAGTTTGCACGTTCTCACTAACTTCTCCATCACGAGGTGTGTGGCCTCCGCTGCAGAAGACACCACGAGGCCGCCCAGTTGTCTGTAAAAATGTATGCCTATATTAGTCTATGCTAATACTAAAACTATAGTTTCGCACAATGTATAAACTCATTTTACTTTTGAATTATGAACACAACAATGTATGGCTAAAGTAACTTTAAATAAGGTTTATGCCTTGTTCGCACTATGCTATTATTTTAGTCCAGTAGCGAGTGTTTAGTATATCTCTCTCGCTTCTGTACCAAAAGTGAAGCGAGAGAATCACTAAATACTTGCTACTTAACTAAAATACTAGCATAGTGCGAACAAGCCATAAATCTTATTTATAGTAATTGATTAGTAATGACCACTATCTCCGAACTAAAATATACTTATTAATGGTTATTTAAACATACCGTATACTCTACCAGTAAACTATAACATTACAGTACACCTTGAACCCTACAAGTTACACATTTTAATGTAATAAAGAAAAGAGAAAATAACCTATAGTTGTAATTAAATATATTTCTTAATTATCTTGTTCATCTTCGTGATCATGACTTTCGTTTTCATCATCGGCATCATTATCAATATCGTCATCAGAATCATTATCACTGAAATTAAATTTTATTTTACTGCAACTTTACTTTGGTTTCACTTGCTGCACTTATTCTTTCTAGAGCAATGTTTTATGGCGTGTAGACTAGATAAATGGTCTATCCAACAAAAAAAATGTCAAATTGGACCTGGAGAATGCAAGCAACCATTGTGAATGCAGAGTTGTTGCTGCAATTCCTGAATGACATCACCTCTATATTGTTTTTGTCTGACTTTTGTACTGTAGATGCCTAAAAGTGAAAAATCTGTACTTCCCTAAAATACACTGCCTACTTAAATTTAAAAATATGGTACCCACCTGACAATAGCAGCTAATTTATGTTGCATATTAGGCGTTAGTGCTGAGAAGGCGACTCTTGGAGCCAAGTGCAAGGGCGGGGGCTGTGGCGGAGCCCCGCTGGGAGTGGGCGGCGCGGGTGGCGGGGAGGAGAGACGAGGGCGCTTCGCCCTCCGTCCTCCGGCCGCCACGCAGGCCGCCGCTGCAGACCGCTTCGCTCGCTCGTGGGATTCTTGCGTTATGTTTATTGGCATTTTCCAAGCATCTGTAATAAAATAATGTTTTTACTGCAGCTGTAGCCAAATGCCATTTAGCGCTTTTCGCTTTTAGAAAACCAAATTATATGGAACTGACGTAAATATTGACACTTATCAGTGACATCCCCATACATTTTGATTTATACTCTCTCTGTAGACAAACGCTTAAGTGGCGTTAGCGCTAAGGGCACTGATCTGTCTATTACAATATGTAATAAGAAGTTAAATTTCGATGGTTACCAAAATGGTGAATTGTGTATGTGAACTTGTATGTTTGTAAACGCACCCACGACACAGGAGAAAATCCTAGTGCGGGGCAACGTTTTTATATAAAAAAAAAATTTAGATAATCGCGTTAGCAACTACTGCAAACACCAAACAATTATTTTGGTTCCCGACTCAAGCACAGGATTTCGTTTTCAAACGTTTACGGAAGTCAATGTAATTAGACGTGAATGTGACAGCATACATAGTAAACATATACTCACTCATCAAATGCGACACTAAGCTGTAATCCATACGGAATGGGCTGGTCAGATTGAACTGCTGGTACTTTGCGTTCTCGATCTGTATACAAAAAAAAAAAAAATATGAACAATTTTGCAATAATTTTTATAGTAGGTCAAACACATAGTCTAATCTTTCAAGACCTGTTTTGAAAAGAGGTATGATCAGGGGGATTAATTTCAAAACTGTTTCGTTGGTCGCGTCCGACTACCAAGCAGCACGGGGTTTTGTTTACAATTGGGATGATGACAGAGTATGAAAATTAAAAATGTAATTATTCCGTAAGGAAAAAAATATTAGACACGTATTTTTTTATTTTGTCATATAATAAAACAATACTTAGATAAAACGAATCAAAGTTTAGGAGTAGGGGCTAAAACATTTCTACGTATAAAATGTACATACAAGTAACATCACGCGACATTTCAAATCAATATATAGTCGAAAGTATTCATTTCTGTAAGAAAATAAAAAAATACGTGTCTAATGATTTGAAATAATCTACCAGACGGACATTAAAATAAAAATTAGACATCTACCCTATTCTTGGTACAGGAAAAATACTATTGAGTACTAATTCTCCTAGGACTTATTAAAAAGCAATCATAACTATGTATAAAACTTGTATGAAAGAGACGAAATATGTAATTTTCCATTACCTGTGAGAGCGCGCTCATGTTCCCGAGTAGTAGATCAGTAAGCCAGGCGGCAGTAACTACCGGTATCCCCCACTCCCTCGCTCGCCTGTACTTGTTGCCCTCCGCACGCTTGCAGATCAGTACCGTATTGTCTCGAGTCATGTATGGAGTTAGCTGGAATGAAATAACGAATATAAATTAACATTGAAGCCTTCAGTGATAGCATGGCCTTCATTAATGGGACAAGCCCGCCACAACCTCTTAAAACAGCTGCAACTCCTGTAAGGCAGGATCTACAGTAGATACAACCATGAAAACACCGGAACACTGAAGTCCGGCGCGTCTTATGGGCATGAATAACTGCCTTGGATCTCGCAACGTAATAAGTCAGAAGATATTACTAAAGGAGATGAAAAAAATACAATGGCCTCACAGAAAACCGGCGTGAAACCACACTTGCCATGTTTCGCCGTGTAAATTAAGTTACTGAAAACCCAATTCCCCCATCCTTAATCTTAATCCTAAAACATCTAACCTCATTAGATCATACCCAAAATTTCATACAAAAGTAGTCTCTAAGCATTGCAAATAAGGTCTATAATGGAGTTAGTGGAGAGCGGTCGTTGGTGACCGCTTGGGGATTAAACAGTTACCGCTTAGGGATTAAACAGTTAATAAATTCACGACGGCGCCGATTGCTTATCATCAGGTAAACAAGGTTTTTTTTATATTTGATGAGCCGACGTTTGACCACTATCTCGCCTGGTGGTAAGCGATGATGCGGTCTACGATGAAGCACGTCGACCCATTAGCAACCTATTCACTCGGGCCTTGAAGATACCCAGGTTCAGGAAAAACAGACTCTTGCAAAGAATTCCACTCCTTAGCAGTCCTTATGCGCTTGATGCGAAGCGCTTCGTGCGTTTGGGTGGGACATCCGCCATGAATCGATGTAACATAGTGCTTAAAACTAGTGGAGCTTTTATCGAATAGTTCAAATATCTAAACTGTATTTGTAATCAATGATACCTTGGCCCCAATATGTTCAATACAGAACGTGACACGATCCCTCTCCTCGTGTCTCCAGCCAGAGATGGCGGCGCGATGGTGCCTGGCGGGGCGGTCGCGTGCCGCGTACATGGACGGCAGGTGTAACGCTAACCACGGCGGCACCACGCCGCGCCGCAACATGGCGTCCGACAGCCAGTACGCCGTCACGCAGCGCTTGGCGTCGCGGAGAGCCTGGAAAATATACATAGGTATAATATATATAATTATATATTTTTTTTTAAGGGGCGAATATCATCAAGTATCTGCTCCCTCCTGGGTGAGGCGGGAGGGATTGTCAGACTCTTACTGACTAAAGACCACCTCGTTCCTACTCCTGCACTTCGAGCCGGAGCCCCGGTAAACCGTTAGGTTCCGCGACTCCGTATCGGCATCGGCCCTATTGGGCCCCATCCGTGGTAGTCTGATGGCTCTTTGAGGCGCGAGCGGAATGCTCGGCGCCGTACGCTCGGGTCTGGTTCTAGACGGGCGGCGAGCCACCCATGCTCGCCGTCCGCAGGCCCGTGCTTACGGTGGCCGGAGATCGTCTCGCGAGGTATAAAAATTAAATATCTAGTAATAGTTTACAAGATCTTCATTTATTTTAACCCAACTGTAGGGTTATTTTTACATTTAAAAAGGCGTGTTTGCCCGCATGCGCGCCAGGTACGCACGCGTGTTACGAGCCAGAGACATAGTCCCCACAAGTCTACACAGTTTCTTAGGTGAGATCTGTAAGCAAAAATCTCACTAGAGAAACCATGTAGACTTATGGAGACCATCATGATATATAATAAGAGACTGGTGGACTGTAAGTGCGACACAATGTTAATTAACACTATCATTAAAAGCGTAGAAATCAAATTAAGTACAAGATATTGAGTCGTTAGAATGCACTATACATATAAACATATTATTTTAATTTTTCAGTCCAATTAAATATTGAAAAATAGTTACACTTTCATTCATTGATTTTCCGATATACTTAATTTTCGATTTATACTAGCATTTTTTTAGATACAAGTACATATGATGACGTCATAAGATGGTATTTCGTATAAAATTCAGTATCGTTTTTGACGTTTCGATAAAAGTATTGAATTTGACTGGTTGTCAACTACCGTATTCTATTGTTTTAGCACTTTAGTAATACTCTCAACAGTAACAACTGTTTGTTGTGTTTAATAAAATAATGTACCTGCATAACGACTCCATGTTTCTGTGTCTCACAGAGTACGTGAGTGACCCGTGCGCAGTAGACGGGCTCGAGTTCCCCGCCGCGGCGTTGGATGGCCTCGCCCCAGCGGGCCACGCGGTCGGCGCCCCACGACTGTTGGTACTCCACCTAGGAACGAAGTCACATGAGACATATAGTCTAGAATTACATCCGTTTATAAATTCAAAGATCATTATTTGACCCAGTAGGAGGTGACCCTATTCTTTATCAACATCTATTTTGATGTTTTAGTCATCCTGAAGTCTATATTTTCATTTTACCAGAATTTGGAATAATCTCTCATATTATTTCTCAAGAAAGAGGTAAAAAGGAAACATTTGGATGTGTAGGTATAATTTATGCTATACTAGCAATTGGTCTATTAGTCTATTAGGATTAATTGTTTGGGCTCATCACACATATGATAAGAACACGTTTCTAATCATAAATGCCTTCACCATCAGCAGAAATGGACATAACTAGTGAACAACTCATCATCATCATCAATAGCCTATAAATAGCTACTGCTGACAACGGCCTCTTCTCACACGAAGGTTTGAGCATTAATCACCACGCTTGCTCAATGCGGGTTGGCGAATTATTTAGAAATTATAAGTTTGATACAAAATTATTTATTAGAACCTTATCAGATACCTAATTTACAATTTTGTGGCCATTAAGTTATATCATTATGATAATGAGCTTATGGCGCCGACTTCTAACCTACCAGTAATAACAGAGTAATCGGTAAACAAACAATCAGCTGAACAAAAAAAAAAACAATCAGCCGAAATTAATATCTCCTCAATTTTACATGTGCCATGTATGTATTTCAAAGACAATTTTTTTGAAACTAAAAGAAATTACATCTTTAATTGTTTTTATAATAACTATCTTTAAACATATTAAATCAACTAAAATCAGTGAGCTGCGCGACGTCGCCGCGACCGCGCACGCTGCTCATGAGGAAGAACCCCTCTGTGGTTCGAAACTAGTAGAGCTTTTCTCAGTATATAAATCTTTATTTGTTTGTTTTTACTTTATACAAACATAGTACTCCTTATGTTAAGGATGGCGGGACGAAAACAAAATAGATTTCACAGTGTTTGTTACAGCTCGACCTAATAAAAATATAGACAAGATAACAAAATTTTTTTTTAATGATGACGTATAAGTGTTCTGCTTTACAGCCTATTTACAAACATTAATAATAATTCATTATTTCAAAGGCAAAATTAAAATAGAAATAGTTACTCACAATATGGAAGACACAGCCTAGTAAGAACAGGTCCGGCGGTAGTTTGAGGTTGGGGTTGTGTCCGTAGAATTGCGCACGCGCAGGCGGGGGCCGGGCGGGGGGAGCGTATACCTGCAGGGGGGGGGGGGGGACTTGTATTATAATAATTGTTGATTAATAGTAAAAATATATATGGTATCTCGATTGCATGGGATAGGTAACATAACTGGGTTTAAAATAATTAAAATTTATACTTTTATGTGTATTTGACCTTTAAAGTGTATTTGTAAAACACATGAGGTTCTGATGACGTTTTGATCAAGTTTTTTTATGAAGATCCATGGATTCTGTCTAAGCTTGTGAGGTTAACAATCCTTCAGATTTCTTCATATTTTTGAAGAGTACAAAAAATATTTCCAATATCCCTCTTTACATCATTTTCAAAGTACAAAGGAGTAACTTCATAAATTAAAAGATAAACAAACCAAAACCGATACATCGTATACAGAAACCAGTACCAGATGGTCAGCTCGGAGCCCGGGCGTACCTTGTGGTGGGGGTGCGCGGCGTGGTGCAGCAGAAGGCGCGGCGCGGCGGGCGCGGGCCGGGCCTGCGCCGCCGTCAGCAGGCGCAGCGTGCCGGCTGCGGAAGGCTCATGGTCACTAGCGGGGCCACCTTGCAGCCTTATACTCAGCATGTTAGCCAGGGCTGTCTTGGTCTTCGGATTAACTAGGAGAGCATTCCCTGGAAGATATACCCATGTGTGTCTCTTCTTCTTACCATCGTTTCTCTCATGCACACACGTTACAGCAACTTCGTAGGCCATGCAATACTTGACGACGTCTATCCTACTTTTTTATAGACGAATCACCTGATTAAGTGATCAGTGCCGCCCATGGACTCTTGCAACAATAGTGTTACAAGTGCATTGCCAGCTCTTAGGGTTAGGGAATTGGACCTATGTATTAGTTGTCATGCTATTTAGCTACTACTCTCATTGTTTAATGCTCTACTGCGCTCCCTAAATGGGGGGTATTTTCTACCGTGTGTTAGGGTATTTGTGTGGTACTAACCTGGTTGTTGGTCTGGAGTGGTGGGAGTTAATAGTGCTGCGTCTACTGGTTGGTCCGCCAAGGGGGCGCCAGCTACTACGTGTTGAGTAACACCTGGAGATACCTGTACAGTCGATGATAAGATTTAATAGTAGCTAGGAGTTGCAAATCGTTGATAATGAAGCGAAACTGTAATTCCTTTCATGAAATTGTACATTTAACCAACTTTGTTGTTATCTTTGCAGGCGAATTAAAAGCATTAATATTTCAGTTATAATAACCAAGACTATTTCAATCAACAACTACAAAAATAAGGACTTCACGTAATCTTCAGAAAATATAAACTCTATAGACTAATGACTAAAATCGACCTCAATCAAAACCTCAATGAAAACGGATTTTGCAATGAGCAGTAAACTATCACATCTGTTTACACTTTGGAGGTGTAAAAGGTCATACAGCATGCTATGTACCTGTTTGACGGCGGCATGGTGTGCGACATGGTCCCGCTGCGCCTGCAGCTGCTGCAGCCGCTGGTAGTGCTGCTGGCGCTGCAGCTGGAGCTGCTGGAGCTGTGTCTCCACTCCGGCCCCCGCCCCAGCGCCAGGCGTTGCTACCGGACTACCTACACCAGCTGAGCCAACTGGCGGAACAAAATAGGGGTTAAAATATGTCTACGATTTTTTTTGAGGGGGGAAAACCATCCAATGGCTTCTCCCGCCTTGGGTTTGGCGAGAGGGAGTGTCAGACTCTTACTGACTAAAAACAACCACGTTCCTACTCCTGCTCTGAGCCGGAAAAATAGGTCTAGGTGGACCGACGACATCTTCTGAGTCGTGGGGTGCTAATGGATGCAAGTGGCGCGTTGCCGTTTGACGTAAAGGACTAAGGGGGAGGGCCTTTGCTCAACAGAGGACGTCTACTACATGATAATGATGCTAATGGACGATCTCCGGCCACCGCAACCACGGGCCTGCGCCCACGCAATCTTTCCGTGTGAGATTACCGAAGAATATGTCAATGCACAATCCAAACAGCAAAACTATGTAACTAGTAAATTGTATTGTGAATCTGATTGAAAAAGAGTAACCTATGGAGTTTCTTGCTCGTTCTTCTCCATAGGAATCTACGCCTTGAAATGAGCAAATAGCTTCACTTTAAATTTTTGTTTTTGTTGACGTTTAGAAGTGCCATTCTGGCCTAATTGAAATAAATGATTTTGACTTTGACTTATGTATCATATTCTATATAATATTTTATAGTATTTTTAGTTACAGAACTTAACATATTTAAGTTTTGAACCATTGTTTCACTTAAAAGAAGAAAGAGCTTGGAGTACTGCAAATCATAAGAAGACCTCTATTGTCTATCCTTAATATATAAACACTGAACCAGAAGGGTCCAGAAACAACAAATACATAATACAAAACGACATAACTTTAAAATTCAGTATCCATGTAAAATAAGATCTGCGTTCAAGGCTAAAGTTTAACAACCGGACAAGAATACTCTATTTGGAACACAACTGTATTAGGGGAGAGCCTATTTCCATATAGCGGCCACAACTGTCAAACTCAATGCTAACAACAGGGAATTTTAAAATTGAAAAATGTTACATTTATTTTATATTTGCATGATGACGCTAGAATGGAGTATTTTTAACCGACTTAAAAAAAGAGGTTCTCGCAGTTTGACCTGTATGTTATTATGTCGCGATTGGCTTAACCGATTGGCGATTTCAAACTTATAAATAGAAATTATAAGCCCAGGGTTCCTTACGATGTTTTTCTTCACCATTTGTCTGTGGTGTCTAGATATTCTTAGAAAGTAGATGTAACTCGGAAAAAGTCACAATGGTACTTGCCGTTGGTAAGTTTCGAATCCGCACCCTCATGCATGAGAAGCGTCTTAAACCTTCGGGTCACCACGACAAAGTTAGCGTTAGAAGTGTTTAACCCCTCGAGCGTCCTTATGAGCAGCCGGTGGATCATAAGAAAAAATGCTCCAAATGTCACGTGTGCACCCGTTGGATCATAAGGAACGCGGACGCTCGACGGGTTAAAGAAATTACACTATCTATGACAGAATATTCGAGACACTTCTAGTGCTAGTGCTATTCACAGTTCAACTAGTAAAATAAAAAATTAATACTTCTTTCTACAAACAACGATTTGAAAAGTTCACTACTGCTTCACATCCAGGTTTAAAAATCCATCAAAATTAAAGGCCGAATACTTGAACTTTAGCCGAATATTTACCCATCAAAGCCGAACTTCACGCACAACACTAACCCACCACTAAAAATCTTATATCATAATAATAGTCACTATATATTTATTTATTAAAACATATTATTAATAGTACAAATACTAAAACTGCACTAAAAATGATCATTTCTGAGGCAAAACAAACGTAAATTTAATTAAATACGAATCGAAAACGTAAACCACAAATATTTATATTAACATATATTTTCCTGCTTAAAAATGATTCATATGCGCTTAAAATGGTATTGTTTTAAATTAATTACTCAGGTTTAACACTAGTTTATTATTGTATAAAGATAAAATGGACTGTTGTTTCATTTTTAATTTATTAAAAATTAGCAAACATGAGGATTAAAAATATAAATGTAAGTAAAAACCACGGTACAGAATTATGGCCGTTAAATTCAACCACCGTTTTTTTAATTAAAAAGAAAAATACTTAGGGCGGCTAACCTTACCCTTTGTAATGTTAGATGTCGCTTACAGATTTGTGAACAACAAAATGTCGGTAAATACCTATCTTAGCTTAGGAGTTACTTAAAATTTAGGAGAGGTTAATGAAAATGGGCTTTAAAATCATTAAACTTAATAAGTACGAAATTAGAGAGTAAAGAGTACCGAAAAAGACAGTCACCGAATAAAAAACATAAAATCTTTAAGAATTTTTGTAGCCAAATAAAAAATATAATAAACCAACAGAACTCACGAGAACTTTCATTATCTTGTTCATCCATCATAGAACACGACACACATCAATTTCAAAATGCAATTAAAAAAAAATACTCTTATTTTTGGTCGTAAAACTTCATACAAAGGGCGGGAGAACTATACCACAGCGTAGCTCAAATAAAATACTAAACACATCAATACTTAGATATCGCTTTGAAATTATAATTCGTGATGTGGTATCCACAGAAACATAATTATTTATGAACATATAGGTAATTTAAATACCAAAATTTCTAACGTCAACGTCGATCAATATGGAATATGGAGTTGTTTTATACAATTTTTACATACGACATCTATTCTACCTAAATATGCTTGTGTAAGAAATGCTAGAGGAAAGATTTGAGGAAAAATTTAACGTATTTTTGTTTTGTTCTATTAACTGGTATATCTTAGTATTTATTTTTATTGACTGCCTCGTTGGCCGAGTGGTCGTAAGTGTGGCTACTGAGCAAGGGGTGTCAGGCTCGATTCCCGGGGTCGGGCAGTGTTATTGAGTATTTTTTAAATTTCCCAGTAATAGCATGGAGTCTGGCATTGGGCCCGGTATATGGCAATAGGCTCACCCCCTATTACATTGGACTCATAACAAATAGTGAAAAGTGGGTGTTACATTGTACAGTGGCAGTAAGTGCCGTAATTTGCACCTCTGCCTGACCCTTTCGGAGATAAAAGGCGTGATGTTATGTTATTCTATATATATAAAAGAAAGTCGTGTTAGTTACAGCACTTATAACTCAAGAATGGCAGAATAGATTTGGCTGAAAATTGGTAGGGAGGTAGCTTAGAGCCAGGCCCAGGAGACCGACATAGGATACTTTTTAACCAATTTTTTTTTTACTTTTTACCGAAAATCACGAACGGGCACGGGAAAAAATGGGATTACGCGTACGAAGTCGAGGGCAGAAGCTAGTTTTTAATGTTATGTAAAGAAGATTTCGTATTTATAGCCTTTTTTATATACGTACTGCCCGCGGCTTCGCTGGCGTTTCTGTAGAATAAAAAGTAGCCTATGTGTTATTCCATACCCCTGTTCCGATTGTCATCCCGATCCCTTTAGCAGTTTTTGCGTGAGGGTATAACAAACAAACAAACAGACAAACATACAATATTTCGCATTTATAATATGATGACTAGCATTTAAAATACTTATACTTCTATTTTCAGAAAAAATAAGTGTATGTTTCCTATTGATCTCGTTGCTACACACAAACATAACTTCACGTCTTTTAATTCCTGAAGAAGAAGACAGAGGCAGAGATGCACATTATAAAGTTATATCCATATTTCACCAGTTTTATATGTCCAATAATTGATCAGCTAGATTTAAAAACAAATTAATAAGAGTATCAATAGAGTTTCTTGCTTGTTCTACTCCATTAAAAACTACACTTTGGAACAAGCACTAAGCTTCACTGACACACTGACGGATAAATTCAATTTTGACGTTTCAAAAGTACCTAAAAGGATAAAATAAATGCGTTGCTCCACACTAGGATTTTCTCCTGTGTCGTGGGTGCGTTTACAAACATACAAGTTCACATACACATGACACCCAGACCCGGAACGACAATCTGAGGATCACACAAAGAGTTGTTCCGTGCGGGAATCGAACCCGCTACACGTGCGGCAGCCAGTTGCCCAGCCACCACACCAACCATGCAGTCTTTATCTTTGAATTAAGTGTTACTACTATGTACCACACAACGCAAGTGATGTTTTACACAATATTCGGTGTTTTTAGTGGTAAGTTCGGTTAAAGCATTTTTTTTAAACGTTGCCCCACATTATTGTTTTCTCCTGTGTCGTGGGTGCGTTTACAAACATACACGTTCTACACATGACACCCAGCTTGGATCTCTGGGCGGGGAAGGAAATCAGCCTGCAAGGGCTGCTTCGTTGTGGGACCTGCCACAGTATAGTGGTCGAGGCTGGCCTAGTGCGGTAATTCCGCAAAGGCGTCCCGGGTCAGAGGCAAAGGAGGACTACCGCGGTGGTTTTAGCCGGTAAGAGTCCAGCACACCACCTCGTCGTCCCCACAACGTGGAAAGTCCATGAGGATTTCCAAGACGTTATAAAAAAAAAGTATGGATCTCCCACCCAAAAGGTGATAGAGGGGGAAAAGAGTATGAACTAGTAAGCATCAGTTACCGGGAGATTGCGGCGGCGGCGCAGGCGCAGCGGTTGGTATGGTGGCCCGGGCGCCCTGCTGCTGGAGCCATTGTACCTGCGATAATATTAAAGCATTTGTAAAATGTTTTGACAATATAAATAGTGACAAGTGATTTTTATAAATATCGATCAGTGACGTTATGTTTTTATAACTATCGTGAGACATGCTGAATTAACTAAAAATTACGAGTTACTCACATAAATGTACTGAGAAAAGCTCTACTAGTTTCGAGCCACAGAGGGATTCTTCCTCATGAGCAGTGTGCGCGGTCGCGCAGCCTACTCGATAGTAATAGAGCTTTCTCAGTATATTTACGTAAGCAACTTGTAATTTTAGTTAATTCGACATTATTTTTTTTTAACGACAAAGTTTACACTACAACACACAGAAAGAAATAAAACTAAAGATATAGTATGAAATCTATTTATGAGACCATTATCAACGACAATCAGACGACACGAAGGAAAGAACTGGTTGCGAAAGGCACAAGTACTAGAAGCCTGGAGAGAAAAGAGGGCCAAGCACGAATAACTATCGCATTCGTATCGTAACAGTATCGAGCGAGTTAAGCGTTCTGATTGGTTGGTTCACTTAAGCCGGCCAATCAGAGGGCCAAGCACGAATAACTTTCGCATTCGTATCGTAACAGTATCGAGCGAGTTAAGCATTCTGATTGGTTGGTTCACTTGTGCCGGCCAATCAGAGGGCCAAGCACGAATAACTATCGCATTCGTATCGTAACAGTGTCGAGCGAGTTAAGCATTCTGATTGGTTGGTTCACTTGAGCCGGCCAATCAGAGTGCCAAGCACGAATAACTATCGCATTCGTATCGTAACAGTATCGAGCGAGTTAAGCATTCTGATTGGTTGGTTCACTTGAGCCGGCCAATCAGAGCGCCGAACGCGCTCGATACTATTACGTTACGAATGCGATAGTTATTCGTGCTTGGCCCTCTGGTAGCTTATGATGTCCAACTAGACTATTGTATGTGTATTTGATCAGATTCTCGTCCGTCATTGGTCAAGATTATTTTCGTACATGGCAGATCGCGATCGTACACTTCGAATTTTCAAATTTAAAGTTACAGAATAGAGCAGGAGAGGACAACACAAGGCCGAAGATAATAAAAAGAAAATGTAATTGAATGAGAATAGGACATGAAGAGTCCGTGGAGAATAAGAAATCTATATTTACATATAATAAAATCGTAGGAAAGTGAAAACTGTACAGTGTACATCAAATATTTATTTATAAGAATGCTTGGGACGTGATCAACAGTCGACCAAAAAGATGTTTTTTAAAATTTTTGTCTGTTTGTCTGTATGTATCTCCGGGCTGAACTCAAAAAGTGCTGCATGGATTTACTTCAAATTTTGCATTAATATTACTAACAGGTCGGGTCAACATATAGGCTACATATTATCATGCTATCAACTACGGGGGAGGAAGGAATGGCTGTGAATCACTATTCCAAGCGGACGAAGTCGCGGGCTCAGCTAGTTTAATATATGTATATATAAAGGTGAAAATGAAGCAAATCTAATAACGGATAAGTTATTCAGACTTATTGTTAATAGATTGATACTGGAAACAGTTTATTTTTAACATGAATGACATGTAAGTTACCGGCACTTGTTGCTGAGCGAGTCCCGGTGTGATCTGGCTGCGTATGAAAGTGACGCTCTGCGCGCCCGCCGGGGCCGGGGCGCCGGGGGAACCCGCCACTACGCCTGGCTGCTGTACGGGGAATTAATAATAATTCATTATTAGTCGTAATAATAGCCGATACGGAGCCGCGGTGGGCTTAACGGGTTGCCGGGGCTCCGGCTCGAAGTGCAACAGTAGGAATGCGGTGGTTTTTACTCAGTAAGACTCTGACACTCTCTCGCCTCACCCAAGCGGGAGAAATCATTAAATGACTTCCCCCCCTCTCAAAAAATAGTAGTAATAATACAAATTACAATAGACGACTCGCTATCCCTACTCTTCCGGTGGGACTATACTTTTGACAAAGATAGATAACAGGATTCTCTGATGAACCTTATAATTTGCGATCTCCAACCCGCCATCAAAGCGAGTAGTTGCTATGGTATTATATATTATGAAACAGGAAGACTCTTAATTTAAGTTTTTCCGATCCTCCTGTATTTAATTTGGAGACTCAACAAACCTTATATCCCTTTATCCAGGGAGTTTATATTATATACTACAATAATCGATGTGCTTATTTTACAAAGACAATTTATTTATGTTCCAAATATAACCAACCTCGTTGGCCGAGTGGTCGCAAGTGCGACTCGGGTTCGATTCCCGGGTCGGACAAAGTATTACTGGGTTTTAAAAAAATCTCAGTAGTAGCACGGAGTCTGGAAATGTACCGGTATATGGCAATAGGCTCACCGCCTATAACATGGGCCTCATAACATAAATAATAGTGAAAAGTGGGTGTTACATTGTACAGTGGCATTAAGTGCCGTAATGTGCACCTCTGCCTACCCCTTCGGGGATAAAAAGGCGTTATGTTATGTATATAACCGACCTGTTGCTGAGCTATGGCGGCCTGTCGCTGCAGCGACAGCTGGCGCCGCTTCTGTAGCTGCGCGACAAACACGGCGCGCTCCTGCGGCTTCATCTGTTGCAGCTGGGCGTGAGTCTGAGCGTCCAGGTGGATCAGTTGACGCCCACCGCCGCCCGCCGTCCATGATACCTGCAACATGATTACATTTTATTGAAAAACTAGCTTTTACCCGCGGCTTCGCTCGCGTCACAAAAGGATAAAAAGTAGCCTATGTGACATATCACAATACACACAGCGCCATCTATACCAACACTTTTGTTTTCAATCGGGAATATCAAATTTTTCAGGAATAAAAAGTACCCTATTATTTAATCCGGACTTGTAACTTTACGTCTGCAAAAAATCAAAGCAATCGGTTCAGTAGCTACGGCGTGAAAGGGGAACAAACAAACAAACAAACTCACTTTCTGATTTATAATATTAGTAAGGATAGTAAGGATGTTGAATTATTTGTAAAAGTCAAGATTTTTATATAAACATCATGCTGTTGATTCTCGGAATATAAACAATAAACAAATAATAACAAAACCATGGTCACAAGATCTATTTCCAAATTATGTATCTATGTGTTACTGCTACTAATAAGAATTAGAATTTTATTTTAAATGGAAGGTTTTGTCTATTTGCGTTCCATAGTCTCTACATACCCCCATGGGAGACAGGCGTGAAATGTATGTATGTATGTTTTGTCTATGGACGCATTAATTACTTAGACATTTTTTTAAAATTAATGTGCATGTTATTAATTTAACTAAATAATTTAGATTGGATATTATTTAAGACCCTTCAAAGTCTAGTTGTTCTTTGATTTGGAACAAAGTATCTACTCAAACTTCTTATTAATCACTTACCCTAGGTCCCACAGTACCAGGCTGTGCTATCTGCTGCCTCTGCTGCAAGTACTGTTGTTGTTGCCACGACACGTTCTGCCCCCCCTGCACTATCTGCTGCCCGCCCGGCGACACTATCTGCTGCGCCCCGCCGTGCGTGATAATCTGCTGTATACTTCCCCCACCACCCGCCTGAGGAGACTGCGGCATCTGTGTCAACACCTGCTGAGTCTGCCCCACTGCTTGACCAAGTATCTGCTGACCAGACTGTGTCACGATTTGCTGCGACGACTGCGCAATCACCACATGTTGCTGTTGTCCCTGCTGGGTAATCACATGCTGTCCTCCTTGCGTCAAAACCTGCTGCGTACCCTGTGTTATAATCTGTTGTCCACCCTGGTTCACAATCTGACCTCCTTGGTGAACAATCTGGCTTTGTGACACAATTTGCTGACCTCCTTGCAATGTGACCTGCTGGTTTCCATGTACTAGAATCTGTTGCTGTCCTGTGTGCTGGTTTATCAGCACTTGTTGAGGAGCTTGCACTATCTGCTGCTGACCAGAACTGCTTAGAAGTTGCTGCTTTTGGAACAGGATCTGGTGATGTGTCTGGTTTAACTGTTGACCTTGACCTCCTATAGATTGTTGGAGAATTTGCTGAGGATTTTGTTGTATAGTATGCTGTGGACTCAATTGAGGTTGTTGGTTATTTATTAAGGCCTGCTGTTGAGTCTGCATGATTTGCTGTTGCAGAATAACTTGGTTCTGCGGTGTCCGAGACTGAACTAATGGGTTCCTTATAATTTGGTGCTGGCCTTGTACATTCTGCACCATTTGTAAGTTCTGTTGTCTCCAAGCACCCTGCACAGGTACATTAGCATTCTGTTGAGTCTGTATAGTTTGCTGCACAGATTGTATCTGCTGGCTCAGTACTGTTTGTTGGTTGGAGTTCACCAACTGGTTGAGTTGCACACCCTGTCCTGTCTGACCCTGTGATGACGTCACTAGGCCCTGGACACCCATATTAATATTCTGTTGTTGATTATTTATAGTCTGTACATTTTGTTGCTGAATTAATCCTTGGTTTTGCTGTGACATCTGTTGCCCGGATGATATCAGTTGCTGGTTAATCAGCTGTCCTTGTGAAAGATTTTGATTCATCTTTGCATTTTGAAGATTCTGAGTGGATTGTGCAAGTTGTTGGGCAATATTCTGGACAGCTTGCGAAGCACTCTGCTGGCTGAGGCTCAGGCTTTGTTTCATGGCCATGTTCTGCTGTTGCTGCAGGTTATTAGCACTCTGACTCAACATCTGGCTAATATTCTCAATATGCTGCTGAGCTGAGCTCATTGTTGTTGGAGGCTGGTTTATGTTCTGTTGCAAATGGTGTTGGTTACCCTGTATGTGTTGCTGTAATTGACCCTGAAGGTTCTGAGACATTTGGGACACCGAGACATTGGGCTGGAACCCTTGCTGGCCCTGCTGGTTGTTGAGTTTGTTCTGCTGCAACATTTGCATCTTCAGCTGGTGCTGTTGCAACATTTTCTGTTGCTGTATCTGTATTGCTGTCAGGCCATGTGGTTGTTGTTGTTGCTGTTGCCCCTGGTATGACTGTTGTTGTTGTTGTTGCTGTTGCTGCTGTTGTTGTTGTTGTTGTTGCTGCTGTTGTTGTTGCTGCATACTCATTTGTTGACTCTGCATCATTCCTGCTTGCGACACTATTGTGTTCTGTTGTCCAAACTTCTGTAGTAGTGGCGAGTTCGGCTGACTGCCCTGTATTTGTAAATTTTGTGTCACTATGCCTTGCGGTATGGATTTGCTCATAATACCAGGTGTGGACATGGAAGTTGAAGTATAACCCATCGAACTGATAGGTGTACTAGAAGCCACTGACACACTAGAGCTGGCTGGGGGATGGTTCCAAGGCATCCTTTGTTTCAGTTTGTCCAACAAAGCCTGGGTACTATCATCCTTGTTCTCTGCCATATTTTGTGTGGGCACCTCGTTTTTAGCAATACCTTCCTCAAAATCGAACCCTGTGATTGCACTAATACGGTCCATCGCTTTCGGGGGAGGCTGAGGGACAACTAACAGTTTTGGGTGAAATATATCAGTCACCGCTTGTATTCTAGCCCTAATACTCTCTAGCACCCAGTCAGGAGTCACAATCTTTATCCTTGAGGGAGGGAGTGTGAGCGCGGCACTGTATCTCTTTCCCGCAGCAGATCCACAAATCAGGTGAGTACACTGAGAGTCCAAGTTCAACTTTACTTTTCCACCATGATATGTGATAACAGCGAACAAGGTTTTAGCGTCAGCAACACTCACTTTAGATATACAACATACAATGTTATTAAATATCTTATTCTTATGAGGATTGTAGGGCTTCGGGTCGGCCAACTTCTTGAGGCGCGCGCACGCTAGGACCCAGTGCTCCGTCACTGCAGGGATCTGGTAAATGTCCTGGGCTTCATCGACGTCGGTGTCCTCAGCATTTTGCCCACAAATTAGATGTGTGACATAGTCTGAGAAATATTTTGTACTCTCCGCTCCACCGGACTGAAGTAACAGCATAATCTGTAATTAAACCACGTGCCCTAATTATACGACGCCCTAATTACAACACTTATTTCAATACAAATACACTAATGATCACACAAAACATACCCTTTCCGAGACATCGCCAGAAACATAATATTTGACATCCTTGAAAATTGGCTCTTGCAAAGTTAAAGAATCTAAATCGTCAACAATCGTTACCATTTTCTGTTATACAACAACGTTAAAAAACACTCGATTTACAAATTAATTACACATTTTTGCTATATTTTTCAACAAAACGCCGATACCTCAAGCAACGACGTCCATGATTAATGTTGCCACCTATGAAAACAACCAAATTTTATAGGTTTTTTCTTAATTCTGTAGGAAATAGCTAGTCAGCTAGAATTAGCTACAGTTTATGCATAATAAATAAAACAATTAATAACTAAAACTTTCTAAATAATTAATTAGTTTTTAAAAATATTTAAATGCAAGACATTCATTTCAATAGCAACACTTAAAAAATAGTGGTTCGTTTTGATGACTATCAGTGTGTTCTCTACTAGCACTGAACAATAGCGTTCATTGGTTTATTATTTGTCATTGGTAATTTTAGGATATTGTATTGGATGAAATGTTTAGTGGGCATAAAACAGGTTTTATTCAGCGTCAGCGGCAAAATTAAAAAGTTTGAGCTGGACGTTGAAAAAAAAGTTGAGGTTTTAAGACAAGCTTAAGACTTGAAGTGTCCCCTATACTTATTATACTCTTTGAGTGCCCTTGAGTGCAATTGTAATCTATTAAAATATCATCAGTATGGAAAAGGTACGAAAGCAGAACATAGGTACAACCTAACCTTTTTTTTGCCTGCGCAAATAATAAACTTAGTCAGCAACTTAGACTGCCAGCTTTTGTCTAGTCTCCCTTAGTAGTAACAGCTTCCACATTCAACACCAGCTTCGTAAAGTAGTTGTTAATGACTCGGAAACAACGTTACTATTCGCAAAAAATGTCGTAAGTTTTATGGTACCGACGTAAATACCTACCTACTTTCAAAAACTCGTCTTGCGAGACATCATCGATTAGAGGTATGAATTAATTATTTTATTATCTTATCTCTCCATGTTGAAATAGTCGAAATTTTATTACGTAACTTTACGCAAAGCTTATAAAAATGGCAACCAATTCCTTGGTTGCCAGAGACGTTGCCGACTGTTGGACTGGTCTTGACCTAGGGTTGAATAAAGCAAAACGTTAATACGATTTTACGGTTCCTGAAATTCCAATTGAATGGCAATAAGCCTTAGAAGAAACTCTTTTAGCTAACACACTAGGTGTGCTTTTGGGGAAACGATATAGTGCCAATTTTGTTATTAGTCGGTTTATTAACAAACCAAATGTTCCTATCTCTGAAATCTTGACGGAATCAATGTTTATTTTGTTATCAGTTACCAAATTCTTTTGCTGACTAATGCTATATCTAATATCTATAATAGGCTATTTGCCTAAATTTTATTTTAATGCCCGTCTGGTAGATTAATTTAATACATTAGACACGTATTTTTTCTTTTCTCACAATATTGAATACTTTCGGCGATATAATAATCTGAAATATCGTGTGACATGCGCTACATTTTGTAGCACTTAGTGACGTAACGACCTCCCACTTTTAAACTTAACTCCATTTTATCTAAGTATTGTAACTATAAACGAGAAAATAAAAAAATACGTGTCTAATATTTTTTCATTATCTAACTGATGGACTAATTAGATTATTAATTTTCATTCCCTGGCAACTACCCTATTATAATAGTTCATCATCAGATCTCTTTCTTTATCCATCGATATTGCAAAAACATTTTTTATTTCTTCCTCGAGAACTCCCATATTTGTAGTTTTCATAAAAGACTATCTACGTCTCAAGGAGCCCATTCCATACTGATTTTAGTTTACCACCATAATGATTTCGATACCTCTTGTTATTATGACAATTTCTTAAAATAACGAGACCCAGACGTCATAGGCAACCGTTTTGTTTGCCTAACAATGCAAATATCAGGCTTTAAAAATTTTGATCTTCTATTAAATCATTTTCATTAGTGATATTCATGTTTGATATCCAGCGGTTTTGTGGTTGGCCGTAATTATAAGTTTCTTGACTTATTCTTAAACTCAAAACTCATCATGTTAAAGCATTTCATAACAAACTTAGGTACATATCTACCTAATATTACTCTAAGCAGGGTTGGCTCTCTGCGACTTTTTGTTAGGTTCTCCGCGGAGAACCTAACGGGTTACCGGGGCTCCAGCTCGATGTGCAGGAGGAGGAACGGGGTGGTTTTTAGTCAGTAAGAGTCTGACACCCCCTCCCGCCTCACCCAGGTGGGAGCAGTCATTCAATGATTTTCCCCCCATAACTCTTTGAGTACCGTCATTATAGACACAATTAAAGAACAATAGGTTGCGGTCATCGGTGTCCTCGCGGTGTTTGACAGTTTAAAAAAAAGCAGGGTTGGCAGTTTGGCGCTCACCTGCATAAGGTTCGGTCGGATCCTGGTTTGTATGTCTCAAAGCTTGTTGTACTTTTAACGAGATCAGTAGCAAGCATCGTGCAAATATCTTTGGTACAAAGCCTAAAGAAAGCTAGAAGCATGACGAGTAGAGACGTTTTTCATAACTTTTTTTGAAATATGTAGTTATTCACGTAATTTTTTTTTCTTTAAATCATTTTCTTGCTGTTTGCCTACTGTTTGTGATACCTACATTTATAATTTTTTTTGTCTTAACTGTTTAGTTACTATTCGTGTGATCTGTAAGTGACTCAATGTTATTATTATTTTTTTTAATTTGTATAATGTAGCTACTGATTCACCATTTAATAAATAAATATATAAAATTGGACTGCATTATTGACCGAGTGGTCGCAAGTGCCACTGCTGGGCAAGGGGTCTCTTGTTCGAATCCCGGGTTGGGCAAAGTATTACTGGGTTTTTAAAAAATCTCAGTAGTAGCACGGAGTCTGGAAATGTGCCCGGTATATGGCCATAGGCTCACCCTTTATTACATGGGACTCATAACATTATAAGTGAAAAGTGGGTGTTACATTGTACAGTGGCTTTAAGTGCCACAATGTGCACCTCTGCCTACCTCTTCGGGGATTAAAGGCGTGATGTTATGTTGTGTGAGACACATACAAAAAATTGTGACTAACACGGAAATATTAATTTTTTATTAGTTACCTATATAATATATAATCTATGGTGACTAGCAACTGAGCGATCTTCAAACCAAATTGAATTGAATCGCAAAATTCGGGATGACAGTTAAGGTTACGGCTTACGAGACCCCTACCGAAATACAGACCATGCGTACAGATTAAAAAAAAAAATAAGAGAAAGTGTGCTAGAAGGTACTGCTAGTCGATGTAAAAACTTACGACGTCACTGAAGTGCAATCTCGTATGAAATTCATCAAAAATGTTGACATCTCGAAGAAAGAACTGAAAATGATTAACTATGGGAACTTTTTAAGTGTGGGAGACCCATGCTTCGGCACAAATGGGCCAGCTCGACCGGAGTGATACCACGGCCTTACAGAAAACCGACGTGAAGCAACGCTTGCGTTGTGTTTCGTCGTGTGAGTGAGGTTACCGGTGGCCCAATTACCCTCCCCTTCCCCAATCTCCCCAATTCCTGAATCCCCAACGATCCTCGAACTCCTAATCCCCAAAAGACCGGTAACGCACTTGTAACGCCTCTGGTGTTCCAGGTGTTCATGGGCGACGCTGATTGCTTACCATCAGGTGATCCGTCTGCTCGTTTACCGGCTTATGCCATAAAAAAAAAAACAAAAAAAAAACTATTATTGGAACCTGTACATTCGAACATGTTACAATGTAGGTACAGGTACCACGTACAGGACATTGTTATTTCTTCATCCGGTTCATCCATCTCTCCAGCCGACCTCAAAAACAACACACAATAGCGTCATAATAAAAACTTTTTGGAATGTCAACTAACACAAATATTTCAACTTTTTAAATATTTATCTACTTGTTTATGTAAATGATATCGAATAGGTATCAATTTGAATGTTTTAATAATCTGTATCACCTCTGAGCGTCACTGAAGACGAGATTTTTGCGGTCACCAACCCGTTTGTTTTAAAGTTGTAACCAGTTACACAAAAGCCTTTAGGCGACATTTTGCCACCGTTGTTTTGTCTAACGGTTAGGTAGAATTGAACCAATGGGTTTAAAGATACACGAAATGAATAATTTCAATCCGAAATGTCTTAAAGATAAGGATATATTTCTAAGTATATGGTACACTGAGATCTTACATTAAATAAGGAATCTTTATCAATGTCAGTCTTCCACAAAAATTAATGCAACTTAACTTGTGTAAGACATATTACGCCAAAAAGCTTATCCACATTCATTTAAAGATTTCGAATTGATTTTTTAAATACTAGGGTATAGTATGTCCTGTACCTATGTCTATACCTATGTCTTACCTATGCTAACTTTGTTATTATTATCAAAGTAAATAAGTTTTTTATTATTTTAAACTGTCATAGACTGCTTGGTGTTTGACAGTTAAAATCTCTATTTTATAAGTAGGGCTTTTATCCTAAGAAATAAAATGTCAGCCCCCTCATTATAGAATACAAAATTCATTACCTACACATATTAAAATGAAGAAGCTAAACTGTTTATATGTTTAACTTGCCCTCACACATAAACATAAAATAATTAAACGATACAATTTTCTAGCCTCAGATGACAATGTGACGCTAAAACACTGTTCAGTGATAATAGCCAATATTAGAGAGCTCTTAAAACTAAATCCCTGAAACCTCTGAGACTCAATACTTTTACACTCATACAAAATGTGTTACACAGTAGGTAAACAAATTCTTCGATAAGCCTGAACCGTTTTACACGGTGATCTTCAGTCGATATTATTTTTACAGCGGTTGTACTGTGACGCTGATTCTGGAGTCTACCGATCACCACTCAGACAAGTATTGAGTAATAGAAATTATGAATAGATTACGAAGAACTCGACTAGTTTCAAATCACGCTAGAGGCAGGTCAAACAGTTACGTGTGTAAGCCGAAAACATCTATACTAATATTATAAAGCTGAAGAGTTTGTTTGTTTGTTTGAACGCGCTAATCTCCGTAACTACAAGTTTGATTTGAATAATTATTTTTGTGTTGGATAGTGCATTTGTCGAGGATGGCTATAGGCTATAAAACATCACGCTACGACCAATAGCAGCTGAGCAGAGCGTGTAAAACCGCGCGGAAGTAGCTACATCTAATAATTAATTTAGTAGGTGTCATGAAAGTTTTAATATAAATAGTTTTAATATACGTAGTTCCCCTGCCGGGTTTGCAGGAGTGATATACTATACATCGGCCCCAGTACTGAGCAGGAGTGGGACGGAGTGATTCTTAGTCAGTAAGAGTCTGACACTCCCACTCGCCGAGTCTAGACATAAAAGAAATCCTGACAAAAAGAGTCCAGCAACGTTCACGGGCCTGCGGATGGCGAGCACGGGTGACTCGCCGCCCGACCAGAACCAGCCCCGAGCGTACGGCGCGTCACGTTCCACGCGTGCCTCAAGGAGCCATCAGATCAGACCACCACAGATGGGGCCCAACAGGGCTGATGCCGATACGGAACCGCGGAAGACTTAACGGTTTGCCGGGGCTCCGGCTCGAAGTGCAGGATTAGGAACGGGGTGGATTTTAGTCAGTAAGAGTCTGACATTCCTTCCCGCCTCACCCAGGCGGGAGCAGACATATGATTTTACGCTTCAAAAAAAAAAAAATCGGTGCACCGTCATGCGTTTGCATTGCATTTTCTGTAAATACTTCTGGATGTCGTGTGTATGTGAACCTGTATGTTTGTATCCACGATCCAGGAGAAAATCCTAGTGTAGAGCAACTTTTTATGAATAATGTAAATCCAGCATTCCTAGCTACCTAAAATGATTTGACCCAGATACGGAAACAATACCTGGATACTCCATGTATGTTGGATTTTATAGTGCTGCATACTGCGGTAGCTTAGCTGTGCTAAGAGTCTTTTTCATGATTCCATATCATCCTTCTCATGCCTTTCTTAGTTTAATAACTGTCTGACACACAGAAATATTAATATATGTGTGTGTCTTTAATATATCTGTGGTCTGACAGGTAGACTTCGGGCTATTAAAGTGTGGCGGCAAAAGCCCGCAGTTAAAAAAACAAAATCACTTTTTTTTAAATACCCAAGGAATTTGCGCGCGAAAGGGTTTTTACAAAATGGCGACGCCCGCCGACGGTTACAGCGAAAGTTTTTCCGTATCGTCACAAACTGTAAGGTTACTGTTACAACCAAATATCTTGTGTGTGTGTAGGTAAATCCCCCGTGCGATAACACAAAACACGTTAGCGTTTACACACACTACGACACGCATTCGCATGTGTTGTGACGTGTGAATATTTTATTCACACACACATGCGTAGTTAAGTACATAAATATGCGCATATGATTTGAATGAATCGAAGATGATTTTCGAGATTTTTCAAGAATTGTTTTATTTCGTACTTATTGGTGGTATGTAGGCACTGATTATATCTTCAATTTAAAGCTATTAAAATAATATATCCGTCTGCAGATCTAAAATTAAAATTAGGTCAATACACTTGAATTAGTAACTCCGTATGTAGGTGCACATTATTACATTACATATTATTATGTACATCCGTAAAGCTTTGTTAAATAAGTTACGAATTAAATGCCTAAATATTTCTCTGCTCACTTTATTATCTACATAATATTTGCAGTTGGTACGTATACATAGGTACTGTGACTATGCAATATGTACTTAAGTATGCAAATTTACATTGAGTTAAACAAAAGAAAACCCCGGCTTATTAAATATTAAAAACTAGCTTCTACCAGCGTCCAGTTTCTTTCTTCTCAACGGGATAAAAAGTGACCTAATGTGTTATTGTAATCAATAATCTACTCCGTTTTTGACACCAAGGTGGGAAATCCTCTTGGAGCCCCCTTGTCTGGGGAGGACGAAAGGGACTGTCAGACTCTTACTGACTAAAACCCACCCCGTTGTCCCGTTTCACACGTGGGTACGCGGGTACGGGAGTCACATACTTCCGCAGCCCCCGAACTCGTGGCGGCCTGCTTTACCAGGCCTCAAGATGAGGAGTGAGGTGTTGATCTCCTCCGTGCTACATCTCGGAGGCGCGTAAACACAATGCGCACCACCCTGACCGTCTCGGTTCTATCCCTGTTCCAAATTTCGATCGGTTTAAACGTTTTGACGTAATGGAGTACCTAACCGACAAACGAACATATAGGCACATAGGTATAGGTATTTGCGCCTTTATAGTATTAGTAGGATTTTTTTAAGGGGGGAAAATCATCGCATGTCTGCTCCCGCCTGGGTGAGTATGCGGGACTTGCGGGACGCATCTAAAGTTTTACGGGACTAGTTTTATTCATTATTTCAAAGCGGGATTACATCTAGCATTACGGGATGGTCCCGCAGAATACGGGACGGTTGGCCGCCTTAGGTGAGGCGGGAGGGAGTGTCAGACTCTTACTGACTAAAAACCATCCCGTTCCTTCTCCTGCACGTCGAGCCGGAGCCCCGGTAACCCGTTAGGTTCTCCGCGACAGTATTAGTAGGATAGGTAGGTACTTAACTTCGTATTCATCCCTATAAAAAGATGCAAATTACTTAGAGATAGAAATATTTTTAATAGGTACCTAAATGTCTGCATATTTAGATGAACTATTTAGATGAAAATTGTAATATTATATCGTCTTTAGTCACGTTGAGATCACGAATGACATTTGCTACCACATTATGTATGACCGCTTACTTGGCGCCCAAAACTGGTATTTCCATATAAAACGTGTTCGCCATCCATTTTCCTATTTAAAAGTAAATAACGAAAAATATCGAATCAGAAAAACAATAATGACGTAAAATAAGTTTACGTACGAATTGTATATTTTATCTATGATCAATCAAATTGTTATTTTCCCGCGTAAATCAATGACGTCCCGGCGTGTTTTTTTTTTCAAGACGTGCTCGTGTGTCACAGTCTAAAAAATTAAATTCATAACCTCCAAATTGTCAACGTTCGCAGAATCCTTTGGGAATCGGAATTTTAGTAACTAGGCACAAATACCTAGAAGTGTAAACATTTTTTTAGTCTACTATCAAAATATTGAAAATTAATTAAATTGTACGAAAACAATTTTTTTATTCATTTTAATAAATTGATTTGTTTGATGGCGCATATTTTGAGTGTGGAAACATCACAACAGTCAAAGCAAAGATCGGTAGTCAACTGTCTTGATTAGGAATCTGACAAAATGATTTATTGATGATTGTAAATCTTCAAAAATGTGTTGCCAAACAAGATGCCTTCATAGGTAGGTACATATAGTACGTGGCTGTATATACTTGTAGTAAGTAGTTGTTTCTGTATACTTTTGCATGCTAAGCACGTGTAGTCTCATACAGTATAACGAATAAGATAATTTTATTAATACTAGACTGACTCAAGCTTGAAGATGTTGAATGGATACACTGGCTTGCGACAAAAGCGACCTTGTTGTGTTTACCTAGAGGCTTTATTTGAAAACAAGTTAAAATATGTTAATGAACTTTAGTGGCTTTTGTAAAACATATAATTAGGTAGAAGGCGGTATCATCATTGGATATTTAAGAAACAGGATTTCCCGAGGGCAGGGTATGTAAAATGAAGCAACTAGTCTTATATGCCTTTAATGACGCAGTTAAAATCAGCCAAAACCCTCTACTGCTCAAATTAAGATGACCACATGGTAAGTTTTACCCACATGTTTTCCTTAAACGAGTTATTTAAAACCTCAATCAAACAATTAAAATAGTTGCAAAATATTAATAAACATGCATCACGTAAAAGGCAGTGATTTGGAAATAATTCTGACGTACCTACCTACCTACATAGGTGAATAGGTGTGATGCTGAATACGCCATCGTAGAAATGACGTCTATTATTAAAAGGAGGCTCTGATAAATAAATACAACTTATAGTTGGTATATTGTAAATTATGTAAGTAAGTACATAAACTGTTTCTTTGTTATATTTTATAAGTTCAGGTAAACAACATTGGATCTTAATGGAATCCGCACCTGACTTAAATTTAATTACATGTACAAATGTATCAACTTGACACCAAGTAAGAACAACTGTCCTCGACATACCACAATAAAATAAAAAGTTCAAAAGTCGACGGACTACAAGGACTATGCGAAATATCTGTTTTGTATGTCTCATCCATCTCGATAATATGGCCAGTCCTTCGCCAATTGGAGGCATGGAAACACGTCGCTGAGAACGAACTAAAACGAATAAATTTAAATCGCAAAATGCGAACCTTAATTCGTAAATTAAAAAAATGGATTTGAAGATAGTGTGTTTGTGTGTTCTAATTTTAAGTTTTGATTTAGTGTGTGGCCAGTACTCGTCGTCGCCGTGTCCTGGCATATTTGACTTTGAAAATGATGGACGTCATGTGTATGGGAAAATCGTTTTGCGGCCAAGCTCGCCGGTGTCTTCCTTAGTGCTAAGAATTAATTTTACTGTTGCAGCTCAACTATTTAATGTGAGTACCTTGTATTTATTATTAACTTTAAATAATTTGTATCACGTTATACTTAAATGAACAGGTCTTGATGTACACAATGTGGCAAAATATAAACCTGTTTAAAAAAAAACAAAAAAAGTCAGATTGATAAAGTTTAGAAATCTCAGTCGCGAAGCCACTCCTTTGTGTGGTAACAAAACAACATTAGTATTGCCAAACATTAATTAAGCGGCGTGATTCATTAATACATTTAGATAGGTATCATAAAATGTCAAACAAATCCGCATAACAAAGGAAAATAATTTTTCAATAAATATGGAATTATGAGGTATTAGAAAACCCCGACGACAGAGGTAGCCACAGCGTCCATTAAGTTTTCTTACAATAAAAACATCTTAAGTACGTATAATACTTTGATAATACCCAGGTTTTGTCCTCAAACTCACTTTGTAAAGATATGCATAAAAATATCTATAATATGTAGCTTACTTATATATTTTATTACCTACGTAGGTACTGCGTAGCACATGACTACGAATGCGACCGATCTAGTTGCTACGAACTCTACGAGACTAGATATGAATGCATATGTTTTTGTTTTGAACCTGCTCTGCAGTATAGCTCAATTGTTTGACCCGGAACTTATTAATAAACTTTAATTCGAATTGAATAGCTTAAATTATAATCAGTAGAGTGCAAGTAAAATAATTTAAAACCCAAAAATGCTTTGTAATCAACTTGAGTAGAGCTTTTACTCCGGGCACTCCGACGACAGGAGCTAGTAAAGGTCGCCGTAACCGAAATCGATAAGGAGGACTGTATATGCGCATAAAACATTGTATTTTCCCTTATCAGCAAGGATTTTGGGAAATCCCTTGGCAGCGCGGGCGCTCTTCTATGATAAATCAAGGACCTGTTCACTTACCGATTTTATTTGTTGTTCACAGTAAAGTCTTCTGTTTATAGCTTATCACTCTGCATAAGCTATCTGTCATTGAATTACTAAACATATAATTTTGATATAAGCGACATACAAAATGTGTCAAAATTCAATCAATTCTCAGTAGCTTTTATCGACAGATAGAACTTAGGCTAGCCGTAATTAACTCAGTCACTTACCGAGTGACTGACAAGTCGTGGAAGGTATTTTTATACTGATGTTGTTACTGATACTGTTTATACCGACATAAATATTTTCTGTTCGCTCAGACTGTCTTTAGTAATTATTTATATATCTAATTAAACACAAACTTTATTACAAATGTTACATTGACCAAAGAATCAATTAAAGATGGTACAAATAAACAAGTTTTGTTGAAATGACGTGAACGCGAACGTTTTGCTACGAAATATTGAAATAAAATGTCAAACTTAATTAATGCAAATAACATTTTATTGGGACGACTAATGTTATATAACTTTGTAGAATAATTTAGTTTTGAAATACACACAACCAATACTCCTCGTAGAGTTAAAGGCGTTTTTTGATTTAAAAATGCCTAGGTAAGTAAATATTGTAGATATTTCATTTCGATCCCCAAATAAACGTTGAAATCAGACTTATAGTTTTAGCTATGGTTCCGAAAATGTCGTGAATTGAATATTTAAATAGCTAAACAGTTGTATTTGAGTAATTGTTTGGTTTTGTTATTCTGCCATAATCGACGTCATTGACCTACTGATTTTTGATAGGCTGTGGTCTTCATTTTTGGCACGTGACCACAGATTATTATAAATAACATAACCATAAACCAAAACACAGACACAAAGATTTAGATATACTAAATATAACCTAGGAAATTGAAAAAAAGGCTAACCGTGACAATTCATAGACACTCAGGTATTAATAAACATTGCTAAGACAAGTTTCATATAAAGCAACTTTAGAATTGCAAAAATATCCAAATTGATAATATTTTCTATAATTTTGTGATTTGCGATCGAGCAGCATTCACATAAAACTATAACTTGACCTAACATCTAGTGTTGCCAGTCTTCTGGGAACGTTCTCCGGTGACAGTGATGCAGACAAGTATTTTGACGTCTAATTAAGGGTATTTTTTTATTCAATGTTAAGTCATAGATATTTATTTAATTATATTTCATTTAGTAACGTCTATTAAGACGTTAGGTTTAATCTAGTTAGACTATTTCCGTAGAAACTATGACAGATTACATAAATAAAATAATATATGATCTAAACACAAACCGATAAATTAAAAAAAAATGTTAAGAGGAAACAAAACCGATTGGCAAACCAACAAGAAATAAAAAACCCGGTTAATCGTCGTATTACAATAAAATTAACCGAACTTCTCATTAACATTTTGAGTGTCGGATTTTACTAATATGAAAGGTATAATAAATTTAATGAATTAAGTATAGGCATAAATTTTATTTTCTATGGCTAATGGTTAGAAATTACAAGTTTTTTAAGCTACCTCATCGTCATGATTGTCATCAGGCTCAGAGGTCCACAGCTAGACATAAACTTTTTCCATAGCATAAAACATATCACGGTAGGAGTTGACTCTTTTCGTTCCTATGGAAACATGAAAAACTTTATTTTTCATGTTGAAAATCATACAACAAAACGAGGTGCTCAATTTAAAAAAATAAAGAGATAGATGGAAAAGATCAAAGAAAACTGGGATAGCTAGCTATGATGGGCTAGCTATGAAGGTCTTCACTTGCTCAATAATAGTAGATAACTAGGTACTAAAATAAAAATATGTAATCTAAATTGCATAGGTATACTGTTTTATATATTCCGGTGCTAAATTGGTATCCAAAATAAATAACAATAAATGACACTGGTAGATCACCTGCCTATCTTTAAAAATCATGACAACTACGATATAACGCCATAACGGCCTATTGTGAGGCTCAAATATTTATTGGGTTTTGTCAGTTGTTCTAGATAGAAATACCTTTAAGTTTCTTATATTCGACAGACATAAAACAGAGGTGCTAGGCCGTATAATCGGCCCAATAAATTGTAGTTTGTAAAGAAAACAGGGATTAAATATTGTGACCACCAGAAAATACTTTGATACTTCCCTACTGATATTATTATTATTATTATGTATGTCTTTACCATTCACGGGACCACAGGGTCCCGGTCATTTGGGAGGCATACGAGGGGCCGAAGCCAACTGCGCAGAGGCCCTTTAGACAACTTTAATATAAATGTAATGGACACACAAACCGGCGACTATCCCTGTATGCACTATGGAAATGCACCCAAGGACAGTCCCCGGTTAGTGTAGGACTATTGTGAATAATGGAAAAAAAGAACGTGGGGCTATGGATGGGTTGCTGTGGACTGGTAAATTGGGAACTATGGATGACTATGGCACCTGCCGAAACAATGTAATTTTTACACGTAAAAATGGCAGGCGGAGACTCGCCAACTCACCGACCGGGCCCCGGGAATGGTTGCTAGATATAGCAACAGAGGGGCAACGAGAATGTGAGTGGCTGAAGGGTTAAGAAACTACCACCGCTTTCTACTCAGATCATCTGCTCCAGCCGAAGCCTCCTGCATCCCTGGCCCACTCGCGACTTACGAATAGTTTCTTACCCTCCGAGCAGGATTACTGCTCTCGCGACTCCACTCTGGACGGCCAATGAAGGCAAGCCAGAGGTGGGAGACCTGTTCCTTGTCATCTTTCACTCCAGCCAGCCAATTAAGGCAAGCCGGAGAAGAAGGAACGGTGACTTCTCCCTGGAGCACTCGGGATGATGGTAGCCCGCGGGATCGCTAATGCCCGTCACCTCGCCTCAAGGTGCCCTGCGGGCTTATTATTATTATTATTATTTGATACTTCCCCGAATCCTCCACAACCCTCGAATTCCCAATTCCCAAAAGGCCGGTAACGCACTTGTAACGCCTTGGTGTTTTGAGTGTCTATGGGCGGCGCTGATTGCTTACCATCAGGTGATCCGTCGGCTCGTTTATCGTCTTATGCTATAAAAAATACCCTACGTTCTTTTACCAAATATATATACTTAACACCAAAATGTAGTGAATGATCACCAAATGTAGTAAATTATCACCTTTGATGGCAGTCCGACATGGTAGGCGGATAGGTCAGAATGATATGACGGAAGACGTATGACTACCGTCATGCCATTCGCTAGGTTACTTCAATCAAACCCTGTAGTCAGAAATAGGAACCCCGCGTGGCGGAGTACCGTTTTAATGTACATATTTCATGAAACTTCAGTTGTAATTTTGGTGGGCATTAACCATTTTTGGGTCAACTTTGATTTGCTTGAAAATCATTTTGTTCTTATAGGATAGCTACATGCTCAAATTTTGGTTATAGTTTAGAATTAAAATGAGGTTTGAATTCTGGTGATCATTTACTACCTATTTTTGCCTGTTATGTGTAACTAAATCAGGCGACACGTCAAACATAAGCCGTGAAAAAATAATTAAATTAACGCCTCCTAACTAGCCTATCAAGTTTATTTATAGTATTGGCAACATTTTTTTAACAAGTTTTGCGTAAAATCCTTATAATGATTGCTATTGTAGGATTTACGTTCAAAATTTATGATTAACAACGTTTTAACTAAGTTACAATATCACATTCCAATTACATTTAAAAACTATAAACTTGTGAAAGTAATTTAGCTAAGTTCTTTTTATTCATTACAAAACAACTGACATTTTTAATCTACATCATTGTTACTGACTGATAATAATAATTTATAGAAACTATCCATATTCATCATACACTAAACATTCAAGTGGTCTTAAAAATATGTCAACGGCAACTTTCTTAAATCCTGCTCCACAGTCCACATTTTCCTTATAATTTGAAAGTGTTCACTAAACACAAATTCCGCATACACATCACACACAGGCCCGAATCAACAATGCGTTGATATCGCAGTTGCCAAATTGCCCTTTAATAACTATCTGGCTGTTAGTAGTTTTCCGCTATCCTATAATTTCCAAAGTTTCTATACGCTTATGGTAACATAAATTATCTTTAATTCTGATATTC